TTCTTTTGATTTGCCCATACATGCCTCTCTTTTGACCAATGAGATGTTTTAATTTATTGTGTATCCATTTATTCATCTTACATATTGAGTGTGGTTCAATCCCTGGCATGGATGAGGAAAAAAAAGGGCATGTTTCTTTACACCTGCTGCCCCTGTTCACCTAGCAGTAAGTAGGTACCTGAGTTTTTGTCGACTCTTGTGGGTCACAACCTGGGGGTGGTAATATATCTTAGATAAGGCTGGGCTTTGAAAGGAGCTGAAGTAGGATAACAGCTCTTAGCCTGTAAAAATGATTATAAAAAAAAAAAGAAAAATGGTATTATTTTCCTTGCATCACTGATACTGGTTTCCTGGTAACAATGGCGTTGGAATCCTGACTTCCTGAAAACGGTAATCTTATTTTTTTTAAATGATAGTATTGGCTCCCTTGTAATGGTAGGTTTGACTTCCTCACAAAAGTGGTCTTAATTGCAAATAAATATTGTCTTATTTTCATAGGGTATCAGAGAATATCCTCAAAGCCTGAACTGAATGCTTTTGGCTTAATCTGAGGATTTGTGGCTAAATTGGTAGTAGCCTCAGCTCACACACTGAGGAACTGGGGTTCAGTACCTGAATGAGTGAAAACTTAGGTAATATTTTCTTACACATGCAGCCCTTGTTCAAGTAGTAAGTAGGTACCTTGGTGTTAGTGCAATGGTGAATGGTTGCATCCATGGAAAAAGGCTTAAAGAGCTCCAATAGAAATAAACCAGACAATACAGCCTCTCCTCACTTAACGACAGAGTTGCGTTCCTAAGACCACGGTGGTAAACAAATTTGTCGCTAAGTGAGGAGCATACTATAATGGTAGTGGGTTTGTGTTGACCATCTTTGATTTTGACTCGACCCCCGGCCGGGGGTATGGTTCATCTTTGATTTTGTTTTAATGTCACCTTTGCACCATTTACAACATTTCTGGTATATTTTTAAATGTATATTCAGTAGTGCACTGTATATTGTAATAAAACAGAATGGAGGAAATCAGCTCTAATATACATTATTTAGGTTTTCATACTGGTCAGAGAGCTGGTCGTAAGTCCGAGTCGTCGGTGAACAAGTGCATCGCAAAGTGAGAAGAGGTTGTACGTATTTTGTTTTCCTGGGTTACTAACCCTGTTTACCTGGAGTGGGTTTCGGGAGTCAATGCCCCCACGGCTCGATCTGAGACCAGGTCTCATGGTGGATCAGAGCCTGATCAACCAGGCTGTTACTGCTGGCCGCATGAAAGCTGGCATACGAACTACAGCCCGGTTGGTCAGGTACTGACTTTAGGTGACTGTCCAGTGCCTTCTTAAAGACAGCCAGGGGTTAATAAGCTGAACAAAATATTCATCTTTGGCCAAGAATGAAAGAGTGAACCAAATTGTTTAAATCTGGTACCTTTCAGCCCCTTTCCACTTGTGTTTATAACATTTTACACATTAGTCACCCTTCTCATCTCTACATATTTATATTAACCTTGCTGCACTTCACGGCGTTCCGCTAATACGGACATTTCACATTATGACCAGAACTCCCCCCACCTGACTTTCTAATGGTTACCACTGCAGTGCTCTGCGAGCACTGCGTCTCCATTATATCTGGAAACTTTCCAAAATTTCAAGTGTTTTAAAGTTATATCATGTTTTATATATACTCTGATAATTATACTTGTGTACCTGTATCTCAATAAATTTACACGTTCTGCTAGCGTGCAGGTACACATTGCAGTCACTATGAGTGTCTTATTAGTCTTGAGGATGCCATATTAATAGTAATAATACACAATAATAATCACTGAAATGCATTGAATGTCATATAATACTTTAATATAAACATTTTCATTAATCCATCTGATATTTTTTCAAAATTATATAATAAACATGCTACGTAACATATAAACATGATAAATACAGCTCACAGTAGAATGAATTAACATAAATATGAGATGTTACGTGTACGAACCAAAACCAGACACGTTCGCCTGCTTGTTTACATAACTCCTTGTCTCTCTCTCTGTCTCTCTGTCTGTGTCTCTGTCTCTCTCTTTTATTTATTTTACCTCATTTACTCGCCTCTCGCCCTACATTAGGACTACAAATACTATTTTAAGGTAAATAATGAGTGTACTGTATATGCATCTTATTATTCTAGGGTGCTTTAAATGTTGTTGTATATTGTGTGGGTGGGGTGGCCTAGCTGGCTACCATATCTCCCACACCTAACTTCTTATAATAAATACCACTCAACTCTCACCCTACATTAAGACTACAAATATTTTAAGGTAAATAATGAGTATACTGTGTGTATTTTACTTTTTATTGTTTTTTTAATGCCTAGTTCTGTTGCTAACTTAATATATGCTACTGTAAATTTTTTATCTGGCATTTATATGCATTTAACAGAAACAATAAGAATATTATTTTAGCATGATACATGTTTGTACAAAGGAGTGTAACAATTGGGTGAACATGCCAAAAGCCCTTTTATATGCAGAGCATTTCGGGCACGCTTAAGACTAACTTAAGATTAATAAGGCAATAACAGTGCTGTAATTGTACATATGGTGAGTTACAGTGACTACAAGAAAATTTAATATTCAACTAGTTCATGCAATATGGCTTTAATAAGTTTGGTAGAGAAGAATTACAGTTTTGATATAGTATATAAAAATATAGTATTATAATTTAGCACAATTTAAAACTTGAAACAATTTTCAGTTTGAAGTAATGATTAAATAGTTGAACAATCATAAAGTACAATTTACAATATGAAGTACAGTGGACCCCCGCCTTACGATATTAATTCATTCCAGAAGTCTGTTCGGGTGCCGTTACCGAACGAATTTGTTCCCATAAGGAATATTGTACATTAGTACATTAGATTAGTCCATTTCAGACCCCCAAAAATACACGTACAAAAGCACTTACAAAAATACACTTACATAATTGTTCGAGTTGTGAGCTGATCGTAAGGCGGGGGTCCACTGTATTATTACAATTTAGCACAATTTAAAACAGTGAAATTGAAACAGTTGAAGTAATGATTAAATAGCTGAGCAATCATCAGGCACAATATACAGTCATGAAATGGAAACAATTTTAAGTTTGAAGTAAATGATCAAATAGTTGAGCAGTCATAAGTTATTTAGGAGTTTTTTGAGTAACTGGTAGATGTTAAGAAGTGTTTGTCTGGTTAATTTTGGGTGATGTGATTTCTAAGTAGGGCCTTAAATTGATTTGCAGGCAGGGGCCCTTTATCTGGAGTTTATCTGGAGAGAGTTCCGGGGGTCAACGCCCCCGCGGCCCGGTCTGTGACCAGGCCTCCTTAGGTCAGTGTCCCAGGATGCGACCCACACCAGTCGACTAACACCCAGGTACCCATTTTACTGATGGGGAACATAGACAACAGGTGGAAAGAAACACGTCCAATGTTTCTACTCTGGCTGGGAATCGAACCCAGGCCCTCGTCGTGTGAAGCGAGAGCGTTAACCACCAGGCCACCAGAGCCCTTAAGTGTGTTCTGTCGATGAGTTCCAGATCTTCAGGCCCTATATGTACATAGCATTTTTGCATAGGGAGAGATGGACACGAGGGATATCAGAGTGATTTGTGCCATGTGTTATGCCTGTGTGTTCTGTTGTAGCTATCAAGGAGGAGTTTGAGAGGAGGGTTTATATTTGAGTATAATGTTTTGTGTGTGTAGTAGGCACAATAATAAGTGTGGATGTTTTGTATATTAAGCAGGTTAAGGCTCTTAAAAAGTGGTGGTGTGTGTTGCCTAGTGCAGTAGTTGGTAATCAATTGCACTGCAGCTTTTTGTTGGGTTATTAAAGGTTTAAGGTGATTTGCTGTGGTTGAGCACCATGCACAAATACCATAGATGAGGTAAGGGTAGATGAGAGAGTGGTAAAGAGCAAGAAGAGCCATTTGGAGTACATAGTACCATACCTTTGAAAGGATGCCTTCTGTTTTGGAGACTTTCTTGGATATTTGCTGTATGTGGGTCTGGAATTTGTGACTGCAGTCAAGGTAGAGACCTAGAAATTTGCCGTGTGTGTGTCTTGAAATGGGTGAACCATTTATCAGTGTTTAGCTGTACATTTGAAGCTCTGTTTCCAAAGTGCATGAAGTAGGTTTTGTCAATATTGAGAGTAAGTAAGTTTGTTGGTAGTCATCCCAATAGATATTTTCAGTTGTTTGTCATTTACAGTGTCTGTTAGTATAGTTGGGTTTGGGCGAGAGAAGATATAAGTAGTGTCATCTGCAAATATATCAAGTTTAAGGAGTTTAAATGTGTTTGGAAGGTCATTGATGTAAAAGAGAAAGAAGTGGACCAAGGACACTTCCCTGTGGGACCCCAACAAGAACAGGTTGAGTATTGGATTTAACTCCATTTGTGTATACATACTGGTTTCTATTGCTAAGATAAGGTTTTAAGTAATGGAGTGTCCTCTGACCCCGTAATGCTCAAGTTTTAGGTGCAATAGGTCATGGTCAACTGTAAGTGGAAAAAAAATGACATTCTACTTTCCCACGGTAGCCTGGAACCTAACCTGCCGTATAAGTGGGGACCCTACTGTATTTTGTAAAAAATAGCTTGCAGATATAGTTACATTTTGTATGATGTATGATGATAATGTTGCCCACAAATTTTGTTGCCATTTAATGGGGGTGTGGCCATTTTATTGGTGTCTCATTTACACTGGCTCCAGATTCTACTGAGATTTATGTTGCGGCAGTGCAGTTAGTGAACCTCGGACCCCTTGTCAATGTGAACTGCAGCTGAACATTTAGGTGTTTTATTCTCTGAGCATAGAGTACACAACTATATATTCTCTATTATGTGTGGTTGTAGAGGTAGTTTCACTGGCAGGTCCTACCTCTTAAACTGGCTGCTACTGTGTACACCATTATAATATGGTGTCTAAATTAATCTTCATATATTAATTCTTGTGTGTTTTATTTCTTGTGTTTCAGTAATCTACAATTTTGACCAAGATGAAGTGCCTCAAGCCCTGCACCTTGATGTTGGGGAGACTGTACAAGTATTGGAGGAATGTCGGGGTAAGTGAGAGGCAACTTTGTTGTCTTAAACCTACATATATTCTCAAGTGTTTTTTCATTGATTTATTGCTATACAGCTTGAATACCTTGGTTGAGCAATTCAGAACTTAATCACAATTTGGAGAGGAAACTAGACAGTATTTTGGTCCATTCTGCACCATTATTATATTACAGTCCTGACTTGATAATGGTCTAGGACAGACCAACATATTTTTAAAGTTTTTCTCTCCAAATTGACAAGCACATGAAACATCTGGGTGCCCAGATATTGTACATGTGTCTATAGTTATCAAGGAGGAGTTTGAGAGGAGGGTTTATATTTGAGTGTAGTGTTCTGTGTATGTAGTGGGCACAATAATAAGTGTGGATGTTTTGTATATTAAGCAAGTTAAAACTCTTGAAAAGCAGTGGAGTATGCTGTCTAGTGCAGGAGTTGGTAATCAGTCACACTGCATTGGGTTATTAAAGGTCTGAGGTGATTTGCTGTGGTTGAGCCCCATGCACAAATACCATAGGCGAGGTAAGGGTAAATGAGAGATTGATAAAGAGCAAGAAGAGCTGATTGGGGTACATAGTACCGTATCTTTGAAAGGATGCCTACTGTTTTGGAGACTTTCTTGGATATTTGCTGTTTTTGTGTCTGGAATTTGAGACCACAGTCAAGGCAGAGACCTAGAAATTTGCTCTCTGTGAGTCTAGAAATGGGTGAACCATTTATCATTATGTTTAGCTGTACATTTGAAGCTCTGTTTCCAGATAGCATAAAGTAGGTTTTGTCTATCTTGAGAGTAAGTTTGTTGGTAGTCATCCAAGTAGATATTTTTAGTAATTTGGCATTTACAGTGTCTGTTAGCATGGTTGGGTTTGAGTGAGAGAGGACATAAGTAGTGTCATCTGCAAATAATATGGGTTTAAGGAGTTTAGATGCATTTGGTAGATCATTGATGTAAATGAGAAAGAAGTGGGCCGAGGACACTCCCCTGTGGGACCCCAACAAGAACAGGTCGAGTAGTGGAGTTAGCTCCATTTGTGTATACTTACTGGTTTCTGTTGCTAAGATAAAATTTTAGGTAATGTTCTAACTTTTCGTGCAATAGGTCATGGTCATCTGTAGCAAAAGTTTTTTGTAAGTCTATGAAAAATCCCAGGGGGAGTTCCCTTTTTCCGAGTGCCGAATATATTAGCTCGAGCATATGTATAATTGCATCATTAGTACTTTTTTCCTGTCTGAATCGAAACTGACTGGGGTTGAGTATGTTGTGAGATACTAAGTAGGAGTAGACTTGTTTGTGAATTAATTTTTCTAAGATTTTAGATAATAGGGGCAAGTTTGATATAGGCCTATAGTTGTTTAGTTCAGTTGGATCGCCTCCTTGAGGATCAGGGTAACCCTTTCTCTCTTGGGTAAAAGGACACTAATTGCAATTATTGTGACATTTTATTGTGGCAATGTTTCGCTCTCCAGGAGCTTTATCAAACCATTATGGCTTGATAAAGCTGCTGGAGAGCGAAACATTGCCACAATAAAATGTCACATTAGTTGCACTTGTGTCCTTTTACCTAACAAAATAAATGTCACCTGATTGTTACAAATGTATACTTTTTGAAATAAAAATTTTATTTGTATATTATGAAGAGCTACATGCCTGTGATATATCCAACAAAATCAGCATTATTACTCCAATTTTCTTTCATTAAATTTGTGACTGAATCCATTACAATAATTTTGTAAACATTTGTTATTACTGCTGTACTGTAACTTTACCATCAGAATGTTGGGGCCAAGACCTTACATTCAAAAGGAACTGTAGTTACCCCTCTCTTTTCTTGGATCAAACCTAATTATCTCCCATTTCCCAAGTGCTGTATTGCTTATAGGGTTTAGTACTTCCCCATGAATAGGTAGAAGCCTTGCTTTGAGAATAGCGTGTCTGTTTCACGATTAGTGGACAGTTAGAACTTTCATCATTCCTTGCTCATAGTGACCCACATAGGTTTAGCACTTTGCATAAACAGTAATATTCCCCACAAATATAATCATAATGCCTAGTGTGCCCCATGAGATGGTAGACATTTTGGGCATATTATATAACATTGCGAATACTAATTTAACAATGTTTTCTCCCTTCCAGGTTGGTATAGAGGGTTTTCCACACGTAATAGGAATGTGAAGGGAATATTTCCCGCTCAGTTCATTCATCTCAAGCCCTTCAAGATAGACAATGAAGGGTGAGTATAATACAAGTTTTTCTGAAGAACAGTAACCATAGCAGGATACTTCGTGCATTTCCTAAGTCACTTAGGGAAGGAGGGAAAAGAAGTGTGCTTGTAATTACATGGCTTATATGAGAGTGAGTGCTGGATGCAAGCTGTGCTTAACCACCATCCATTAAGTTGTAACCTCTCACTCCTTCAATTTTATTCTGATAAGAATTTATAAATTGAAGATCGGCTACCTACGTTTTTTGTCAGTACAGGAGGCCCCTAATTTAAGTATTCCAATTTACACTCACGTGTTTTCATTAAAACAGGTGGGTTGAAAACCCATTAAAGTTTTGCACAGTACAAAATTGTGGCAAACAAAATTATCTTATATACTCTTGTTTACTGTGCAAATGACTTACGTTTTAAGAACTTCAAATGCAAAATTTTTATAATTGGTGACCTGTATTTAAGAGTTATGTTTAGAGGCTGTTTTGGGAGTCGATCCTCTGTGACCTTTTCCATGACAAGGCCTCCCAAAGGATCAGGGCCTGATCAACCAGGCTGTTACTGCTGGCTGTACACAATCCAACATTCAGACCACAGCTTGGCTGGCTGGGTACTGACTTAAGGTTTTTGTCCAGTTTCCCTTGAAGGTAGCCAGGGATCTATTGGTAATTACCCCAAAGCATGGTGGGAGGCTGTCTTGGGCACCAGACACTTGTTAATTTGCACGGCGTGTTAACTCAGGTTTAGACGTGTGTGGGATATTGGAAATCTCTTGTGTTATTCTTATGTGATTTGGTTTTGGTAGTATACATTTTCTCTGGTTTAGTGCATGACCCCTAAGTTGAAAACACTGTTATTTAAGATTTTTTATCAATGTTAGTATTACACACATGAATATGAAATATTGCAGAGATGTGGTCTTTGATTCACAAAATGAACTTTTTTATGTGCAGTTACACTTAAATGTCCTAATATTTCCATGATCTAGTGGTTGCATTAAAAATATTGTATTTGGCAGTAAAAGTGCAACTTTTACATGTGAATGCACATCCATCAAAACTTATGGATGAGTACAGAAATTTTCAAGAGTGAAGAGAACCTTGAATGCAAGGTTCTTGCTGTGCAGGTTAAACTTGACTTTAGGAATAAAATGATCTTAAACCAGTCAGTAAATAATTTCTCTCATTCATGCTGACTGGTTTGACCTGCAAATAACTGGTGAAGTGGTTTTATCTGTACTTTTCAAAGCCCAGGGAGTCTTGGAGTGGTAAATAACTATGGACTTTCACTTAAAATCGTCTGATGCATTACCTCAAATTAGCAAGTTGAAGCGATCCTTTGCACCACTGTAGTACAGTGGATCCCCGAGTTTCGTGATTAATCCGTTCCAGAGAGCCTGCCGAAAGCCGAAATTCATGAAATTCGATACCATTTTCCCCATCAGAAATGATGGAAATAAAATTAATCCGTTCCAGACGCCCAAAAATATTAAAATAAATTTTTTTTTTCAAATTAAATAAAGATTTGCATACTGAAAACAATCAGAAAATTAAGTACATGCATATAAAAAATAACAACATTACACTAACCTTTACTGAAGACTTCTGGGTGGATGGAAGATGGGAGGAGAGGATAGGAGGAAGGTGTACACTATTGTTTGGAATGAGAATCTCCTTCCATTAGGACTTCAGGTAGCAAGTCCTTTTCTGGGGTTACTTCCCTTCTTCTTTTAATGCCACTGGGAGCAACTTGAGTCACTGGACCCCTGTCGCACAAAATATCTGTACAGAGAGGTCTGTTTCTGGCATTTCTTTATGATTGTCTGAAGTGGGACAAGGTTTTGTCACTGAACATGTTGCAGATATGGCTTGTTTCAGCTTGGTCAGGGAGATACTTTTCAAAAAAACTTTGCAACTCATTCCACTTTGAACACATGTCCTTAGTCACTGAAGAAGGCACCTCCTTCACTCTCTTTTCCTCCTCTGAAGCAAGTTCCTCAGCTGTGATCTGATGCTGTTCCAGTTGAAGCTCTTGCAGTTTGTCAATGGTTATCTCTTCCCTGTGGTCCTCCACCAACTCTTCCACATCCCCGTCACTCACCTCCAACCCCATGGACTTGCCCAATGCCACAACACCTTCCACAACAGGCAGAGGGTCGGCAGGGTCAGGGTTTGCCTCAAACCCTTCAAAATCCCTCTGGATCGTGTTCTTCGCTTTCTTTACCAAAGGGCTTGCACTAGCTTTCCTTGGGCCCATGGTGACTTATTTAGCAGTTGCAATCACAAAAAATAATGGATTATTATAAGAACATAAGAAAGAAGGAACACTGCAACAGGCCTGCTGACCCATGCGGAGCAGGTCCATGTCCACCGCCGGATTAGACCAGTGACCCACCCCCCGGATTATCCCAGTGACCCACCCAGTTTGGTCATCCCCACTCAAGGATGGGGCACTGTACCAGACCCAGCAGCAAAGCTAGTCAGGTCCAACTCACACCCACCCACACCCACTCATGTATTTATCTAACCTATTTTTAAAACTACACAACGTTTTAGCCTCAATAACTGTACTCGGGAGCTTGTTCCACTCATCCATAACTCTATTACCAAACCAGTGCTTTCCTATATCCTTCTTGAATCTGAATTTTTCCAACTTGAAACCATTGCTGTGAGTCCTGTCTTGGCTGGAAATTTTAGCACACTATTTATGTATGAACCCGCGGGGTGATGGTCACGTGTTGGTAAACAATGGCACACTGAGCATGAATGGCGTGGGAGACTGGCTTTGTGTGCGCGGTGATGGGCGGAACACTGAGCATGAATGGCGTGGGAGACTGGCTTTGTGTGCGCGGTGACGGGCGGACGGGTACCGGACGGTCACTGAATCACGAGAAATTCACTAGTCACAATTTTACATATTACGAAGTTAATACGCACACACACCTCACTTTGAACACCTTCTAATCACAAAACTCGAGGCCAAATTTTGCCAAAAAAACTTGCCGAAAGTCGAATTTCACGAAAGTAGATGCTGCCGAAACTCGAGGGTCCACTGTATCTCAGTTTTATTCATAACACCAAGGCTTTCTTGCCTATGCTTCTTCCTTGCACCACTTATAAGCCTATCATTCCCATTCCTCTTAGGTGCCAAAGTTACTATTCACAGATAAGAAAGGATCATAAAAATATCAACAGCTGATTTACTAAAACAGAGTATTTTATTGGATGCATACAAATGGAGCACTGAGGTGAGGGAGGTTGTGTACATTATGTAGGCCTCCCCAGTAAGACAATAGATTCACTCATAAGTTCACTGCGAGACGGAGGGGAAAGGAAGCCAGCATGTGCCACATTTTCCCTTGTGTATTTTGCCATGTAAACTGATTAATGTGGCATGTTCACCGAATATATGCGCAATTTTGCAACTGTGTAATAACTTAAAAAGTATGTAAGAAACAATAGTGCTGATGAGGCTAAGGGGGAGTGAACCTGGCAATGGATAATTAAGAGACTAGGCAACTACAAACAGGATGAGTGAAGCATATTTTTTTTTTTTTTTTTTTTTTTTTTGCATAGTGTAAATCTTGCACTGATGGTATAAGAGGAAATAGTAAACTGATTTTGTGCAGGGATTCTTTATAATACTGTACAGTATATGATGTACGTATAAAGCATTAAGTGGCAGAAAAGAATAAGCGACAAATTCAAACAGTGGAGAAAAATTCAGGCATGGGGGAGATATAACTATGAAGCTAAAGTTACCGTGCTTTGTTATGGGGCTCTAAGCCTAGCTTAGGTACAGAGTACAGTATCTACACACCCCACACATTTGATTTACTAACCTACATTTTGGCATTGATAGTGCTTATTCTTTTCTGCTGCTCAATGCCTCGTGTATTTGTGAAGCAAAAAAAAAATGATTTTATTTCCATACTTGCATCATTTGTTATTTTTTAAATAGTATTTTAAGTAGAAATTTTGGTTTTTAACAAAATTTTAAATAAAATTTCTTCAGGTTGTATGAGACTGTAACACCTGTAGAGGACCCTGTAGTACAAGAGGCGGCCTCAGTGCTACGAGAATGGGGTCAAATATGGAAGAATCTCTATGTGGTAAGGCCTAAAGTAAAATGGGTACAATAGTTATAGATAGGCATAGGTATACATCATCATACACTGAGCCTGTGCTCAGTATCCTGTTTAACTTGGGTGGGGTTGGGGGGAATTCCTGCATTTGCTCTTTTGTTTAGGTATGTACACTATCGATGAGCTTGTTGTCCGGGCAGTCCAACTCTTATTAGGCAGGGTGCCCATTTTCTTTCGGCTTGGCATACAACACCCTAAATTGAAAACCAACTAGAGTATTTTTCAAAATGTACTAGCTGGATTTTCTGCACCAAGTTTTCCTTTCTTCTAAATACTTTTTCTTGAGTTTAAATATCAACTGGAATAGGGTGATAATATTTTATGACCTCCCCTCCCATCCAAAAAAAAAAACAAAAAATTTCACCAACTCTTGCTGGTAAGCAAACTTCCATCATGTTTCTCCATGAACCACAACTCTTCGCATGCATACCTAATACATTTTTTTTATACACACCGGCTGTATCCCACCAAGACAGGGTGACCTGTATAAATTTATTAAATTATACAGAAGAAGGGGTTACTAGCCCCTTGCCCCCAACCTAATACATATGTATTGTTAGTATTACATTTCAAGGAGTTGAAGTTCAGTCCTGCACCAAGGTATCCCTAAAACTAGCAAGCCAACACTTTTCTACTGGACCATGAAAACTACAGTAAGATTCTTCAAGGTTCACTGGGTAGGAGCATTGGCTTGGTAGTTTTAAGTAAGGGTGGTTTCAGAATTTCTGTATTGCAAGGGGCGTAGTGAGTTGCAGTCTGGCTGGGAGGCAGGCTAGGGGAGTTGGCTTTAAGTTACATTTACAATGCAAGCACACTGTTTTAACCCTTCGACTGTCACCAGCCCCTTTCTGAAACTGTCATTCTGTGTCCCAAAATTTTTGGAAAAGAAAAAAAAAAAATTTTTTTTTCTTATGAAATGATAAAGAATCTCTTCCCGATGGTAATGACACCAAAAGTATGAAATTTTGTCGAAAACTCACGGAATTACGCTCCACGAAGTTAGCAGTCTCGGCGACATATACGCATCCGCGATTTCGCCGACTTTGAGCCCTGTTTTTGGCCAATTCCATTGTTCCAGTTGACCAAACTCATAGCTATTTCTTTATAACTCCATTTTTTCTATCGATTGAGTACAAGAAACCGCCCATGTACTGATTTGAACTACCCAATAAAGTGGTCAGAAATTGGCAATTTGGCCAATTTCATGCAAATTAAAAAAGATGCCAATTTCAAAATAGGGTCCAGAATAAACAATGTAGACATTCTTGGCACTAAAATAACATATCCTCTGTTCATTAGTCACGTCTCTAGCCCCCCTCTTATATTACTATTGCTTTCTATTTTGATGTTTTATTCATACAAAAAATACAAAATTTACTGTTATGCAGACTACTGCATTATTTTAAAAATGGTATAAATAATATCAGTGCACTAGTGAAGGAATATTAGATTCCCCAGTGGGCATGTATTGGACGTGTGGTGTGATTTGCTTACTCCTGAACATTGGTAAAAATCGAACATTTCCGGTAATTTGAGCTCAATTTCAAGGTCGGTTTCATCGTGAAATTAATCAAAATCATCTCTACTTCTGTAATATGTTTTCCATTTTATCACACGAGACCATGAAAATGAGAATACAATGATAAATACTACGTGAAAATACACCTCAAAATCGGCACTGCACTGCACTGTGTGCTGCAGGATTTTTTTTATGTGGTGCATGCTGACCACACAGACCCCTTCTCTCACATGTGGGCCTACCAGCTTTCTCCTGCTTGATTTGAAGCCGCTAGAATTTACGTGTATAAATACGTCTGAAACAGTGGCGTGTAAGACGTATATATACGACCAAAACGGTCAAAGGGTTAATTAAGAGTTTGTTACACATCAATAAAAATAGCAAAGTTTTCTGAAAATGTTTTATTGACACTTAACTGAGTTTATAGAAGTGAAGGCCTGGATTTTTTATTTCTAACATTTAGCAATTTATTCCAGTGGTAGATTATTACCATGCTGTAGTTAATTTTTCCATCAAACAGGTATTTTACACCTGTGTTTTGTTTGAATGACTGCAAGTTAAGATTACAATTTCAACACATACTCTGCCAATTTAATGTATTTTTACAGTACGTTGTAATATTTATGCTCTGTGAACCTTTCAGCAAAATGCTTTGATACTGGTGAAAGGCTGTTGATCCAAGGAATTGAAGCTATGTTCCTTATCCTTGGATCAAACTTATTTACCTCCCATTCCCCAGGTGTTGTATAACCTCTTCAGGATTTGCACAACTGTGTGAAATATAGTGGGTAACTCACTTTATTTCATGTGTGTGTGTTTTCCAAGCCTTCGCCAATAATTTTACCACTTTCTCCATAGTCAGGTCCTTTATATGATGAAGCACTTCAGCTTTCTCCTTTTCCTTCTCCCCTTCCTGATCAGTATTATGAATTTATATGGCACATAAAGTGAGAGATTACTGTAATAATAATATGCCTTGTGAATCTTTACTTTTTCTTTCTCTGCATGTCATTTTAATGACCTTTTCATGAAGCTCTGTCCTTAACTATTGCTATAGGTCAGAATATAAATACTTGACACTGAGATAAACCTTCAGGTATAAATAGGCAATTTTTTGGCTAACTTTATTTTCCTATTACTTTAAGTGAATAACATTGCTTTAAAAATGAAATAAAAGGAAAGCAGGTTACTTATGCAGTAATTTCTTGGGCACAGCTTCTTGGAACTTCCCAGGGCGATCAGGAGCTCTGGGATGCAGTCCGCAAGGCTATGATGGATGTGGCAGACTGGCGCAAGCAGTTGATTACTGGCACATTAACCTCTGATCAGATTGCACAACTCAAACTGAAGATTACATCCAAAATTGACTGGGGAAATAGGTTAGTAAAAGTTGAATAAGAGTATTTATTGATGAAATTAGGTATTGAATAACTATGTTAAAGGTTATTGTTGTATTATTTTTTTTAATGCATTAGCCATCTCCCACTGAGGTAGAATGACCCAAGAAAAGAGGAAACACATTGACGATCATTCACTTAATCTCTGTTTTGCCAGAATCTTGCTGACATAGTTCAGCTAACCCTTGAAACTGCAACATCCTCACGATTCCTTTAGAGTGCAGGCACTGTACTTTCCACTTCAAGGATTCAAGACTGGCTAACTCATTTTCCTGAATCCCTTCATAAATGTTACCTTACACTTCAGTAGCATGTCCAGCCACAAAAACCACTTTCCTCCACTCTGATGTAATTCTCTCGCGTAAGCCTGTGGGATGTGCATGCTCCTAGCAGTTGAAACATTTACCCCATCCCTCCAACCATTCCTGGGACAACACCTACCTCTCCTTCCCTCCAACACAGGTTAATATACCCTCCTAATCATCCTATTTTGCTCCATCTTCTCTAAATATCCAGGGAGTGAGAAAGTATTAATCTTCATTAACAGTTTCTGAATACAGATTTTACAAACATTCTTCTTTGAAATCAGAGAAAGTAAATATCTGTCAATAAACGACAAAAGTTTGAGGGGGGGTCCTATGTTAGAGGTAATTCTACCGGGATCTCGATTGGAGATCTCATGTATTTTCATGTTTATCATTGTGGTCCATTTGTGCGTTGATTTTAGTCATAATTTTGCATGTGTTGGAATGAGACACAGGAAAGAATCTTCATGCTGGTTTGTGGTTGGGTAGTTAGCAGTAAGTGAGATCTATCAATATGCACTGGAAATGGGATATACAATGCCTGCACTCTAAAGGAGGGGTTTCGGGATATTAGCAGTTTGGAGGGATATGTTGTGTCTCTTTATACGTACGTATATGCTTCTAAACTGTTGTGTTCTGAGCACCTCTGCAAAAACAGTGATTATGTATGAGTGAGGTGAAAGTGTTGAATGATGATGAAAATATTTTCTTTTTGGGGATTTTTTCTTTTTGGGGATTTTCTTTCTTTTTGGGGATTTTCTTTCTTTTTGGGGATTTTCTTTCTTTTTGGGGATTTTTTCTTTTTGGGTCACCCTGCCTCAGTGGGAGACGGCCGACTTGTTAAAAAAAAAAAAAAAAAAAATTCAGATGAATGTCAGCCATGTATTTGGCCAAAAGTAGATGGCTAAGATAGCTAGATGGGAGGAGCACAGAGGATATATCTAGGTCTCCTCCAAATAGACTTGCCAGTTATTCTGGGAAGAACATGTTAACTCTTAACCCTTTGTGGGTCGACAGGTCCTCTCAGAAACTTGTTCTCAGGGTCGGCCAAATTTAAAAAAAAAAAAAAATTATTTTTTCTTATGAAAAGATAGAGAATGTTTTCCCCATCATAATGACACCAAAAGTATGAAATTTGATGGAAAACTTACGGAATTATGCTCTCATGAAGTTAGCGGTCTTGACGATGTTTACGCATCGGCGATTTTGCCCACTTTGAGCCCTATTTTTGGCCAATTCCAGTGTACTAGTCGACAAAAATCATAACTATTTCACTAGAACTCCATTTTTTCTATTGACTGAGTACAAGAAACCACCCATTTACTGATTTCAACTATCCAATAAAGTGGTCAGAATTTAGCAATTTTGCCAATTTCACACAAATTTCAAAAGATACCAATTTCCGAATAGGGTCCAGAATAAACGAGAAAGACATTCCTGGCACTAAAATAACAAGTTCTCTGTTTGTTAGTCACATCCCCAGGGCTGCCTTATATTTCTTTGGCTTTCTGCTTTGAATTTTTATTCTTACAAAAAAATAAGATTTACTGTTATGCAGACTACTGCATTAGTGTAGAAATGGTATAAATAATATCAGCACACTTGTGAAAGAATATTAGACTTGCCAGTTGATGTGTATTGGACGCTTGGCATGATTTGTTTACTTCTGAACTTTTATTAAAAATCGAACATTTCTGCTACTTTGAGCTCAATTTCAAGGTACTTTTCATTGTAAAACCAGTCAAAATCATCTCAATTTCTGTAATGTGTCTTCCATTCTATAAAATGAGACCAAGAAAACTAGAATACAACAATAAATACCATACGAAAATACAGTGCAAAGTCGCTGTTTTAATCCAGAAACACGGTCAAAGTTTTTTTTTTCTCATTACGCACTGTGTGCTGCAGGATATTTTTTATACTGTGCACACTGACCACATAGACCCATTCTTCATATGTAGGCCTACCGGCTTTCTCTCACTAGATTTGAAGGCGCTAGAATTTAGGTGTACTAGTACGTCACAAACCCTGGGTCGTAAGATGTACTAGTACGTCTGAAACCCCCAAAGGGTTAAGCTGTCTGTCATGTACTAGTATGTAAACATGATTAGCATCCTGATGTACTAGTTGGTAATAAATACCAACAGCTTGGCTTTGGAAAAACACGTAAGCAAACACTAGGATATATTTATTAGAAAACTTTTCGGTCCTGAGACCTTGATCACTTCTAACATAGAGGTTAAAAGGCAGTACAACCTCTCCTCGCTTAGTGACGTACTCATTTACCGACACTTCGGACTTATGACGGGCTCTCTGACTAGTATTCATACCTAAATAATGTATATTAGAGCTGATTTCCTCTGTTATGTTTATTTCAATATACAGTACACTACAGTACTGTATAAACATTTAAAAATATACCAGGAATGTTATAAAAGATGCAGAGGTGACATTAAAACAATATCAGAGATGGTTGACACACACACACTACCATTATAATATGCTCATCACTCAGCAACAAATTCTTTTAACGACGTGGTCTCAGGGATGGAACTCCGTCGTTAAGTGGGGAAAGGCAGAGAGTGAGGTGTGAGTGATGCACAGTGACCTGAAGAATGCCGGGTCGTAGGACCGAAACGTTTTCAAATAAAAATGTTCTATTGTTTGGTTACGGGTTTTTCTAAACCAACTAGTTTGCATAATTTGTAGCATTCTCAAATTTCCTGTCAGCACCAAATTTTGAGCTAGACATGAGAGAATGAGTGTGTGGTGGGTATGCACAAAATAAAAAATCCTGACAAATGCCATTCATAATGTCCTTGTGTTTGGGTTAATATGGTGAATTTGGGACTTTTTTTTTTAGGGTAGTTTTTATGATTTTTTTATGGTTTCTTGATGCCAATAGATAAAGCAGTGAAGATGATTTTAGTGAAGTTAAGAAGATGCAGTTGGAGTGTGAGCAGGGTAATATTTGAAGGGATTCAGGGAAACCAGTTAGCCGGACTTGAGTCTTGGAAATGGGAAGTACAATGCCTGCACTTTAAAGGAGGGGTTTGGGATATTGGCAGCTTGGAGGGACTTCTAATCTGTCGTATCTGAGCACCTCTGCAAAGACAGTGATTATGTATGAGTGATGGTGACAGTGTTGAATGATGATGAAAGTATTTTTCTCTTTTTGGGTTTTTCTTTCTTTTTGGGTCACCCTGCCTCTCTGGGAAACAGCCAATGTGTTATTTTTTTTTTTTTTTTTTTGCGAGTTTAGTGAAGTTCAGAAGATTTTAGTGAGTTTAGGGCTAGAAGTGGCCTCAAATAAGCTTCAAAATGGCAGAAATGGTTGATTTTTGGGCAATATTCCTTGGTAAGGTGTGTCCTCCCCCATTCTGTTTTATGGATTTTTATTAGGTGTGTTTGTTATTAGGATGGACTGAACCATGTCCAAGCTTTCTTATTTATGATTTATTTGCTGAGAATAGGGGAAAAATGTTGATTTTTGAGTGTGGTGATGGATTCAAAATGGAGGGCAAGTATTATACAGGAGGCCTGGGGCTGTGATTAGTAAGAAGAGAGAAGGTTCCCTTAATGGTTAGAATGCCTACAGTATTTGCTTTGAACTGTTTTTAAATTGGAATTTGTTGAAAATAGTGTAACATTTACCAAATTAACAAAATCTACTCTTAACAGGTTAGTTGTATGGATGAATGGCAGTTTCTTGTGATAATTGGACGGCACGGGAAGGTATACTAGCGATATAACCAGGAACTGGGTTTGTTTGAGCTCTGGAATAAGCCAGAAATAAGCCTCAAAGCGCACAAAATTGTTGTGTAGAGTGCTCCCGACCACTATCTTCACGCTTGTGTAATTCCTCAAGTCGTTGGCGTCATTACTGTTAAAAAGATTCTCTAATATTTTAAAAGATGAAGTAATTTTTCTTTTTCAACTGTATGGATGCACAAGAAGGTTCCAGTTTGAGGGGTGTGGAGGGTTTAAAGTTAAAGCAGCAATACTCATGGCAGTGAAAGAATAAATCCACACTTTAATCTGCTATGGATCAGTCACACTGGAGAATCATCACACTTGAACATGGTCTATGTGCCTAACAGTAGGGATGTTTACTGTCATCCATCAGATTGAAAAAGTAAGTTAAATGTCCACTTAAACAATTAATGTTGTCCATGTTATTGCTGAGAGGTCTGTATTGAACTAGGGTGTGTGGTGGAAGTAAGTGGGAAGTCTGCATAGTGAGTGTGAAGATACCAAGGTAGTTAAAAGTGCTTTTGAATGTGTAAGCGGGTAACATGCTGGAGGAAAAAGAGAAGGTTTTTTTATTATTAATCTTGAAATAATAAAAGAATAGAAATATTGAAGGATGAAAGTTTCATCACTGTTGCTAGAGTAATCCACAGCTCTCCTTTGAATTGAAGATGAAACTTGAACAACTTCGTAATGGTTCAGGACAGATTGAAACATCCCAAAACTTTCAGCTCTTAATTTGTGAGCTAGAGGGGAGTGTAGAATTATTACGGTAATTATACGAACAGTACTCTGGATTAGACACTGATGCACAATGTTAAAATGATTAAAGAATGTACTGTAGATAGATGCATCTCTGGATTTGTGTAAGACACCGTTTAATGAGCAGGATATAGTTGGGAAAGTACTGTAGATATGAAAACATGGACAGTATAAGTATCTATTTGGGATAGTTTGTATCCACAGTTTAATATTTTTTGTTTTTCAACATACCGGTCATCACCCATTTTGGCAGGGTGACCTGAAAAAGGAGAAAACTAATTTTTTTTAACATGTCATCCATTTCCCACTGAGGCAGGGTAACCCCCAAAAAGAAACACTTTCACCAACATTCAACACTTTAACCATCATTCACAGTCAGTGTCTTTGCAGATGCACTCAGACATGACAGTTTAGATGTCATCCCAAGCAGCCAATATCCTAAACCCCTCCTTTAAAGTGCAGGCATTTTACTTCCCACCACTAGGACTCAAGTCTGGCTAACTAGTTTCCCTGAATCCCTTCACAAAATATTACCCTACTCACACTCCAACAGATCGTCAGGTTCCAAAAACCATTTATTTCCATTCACTCCTATCTAACACGCTCACACATGCCTGCTGTATGTCCAAGCCTCTTGCACACGAAACCTTTTTTACCTCCAGCCCTTCATCCTTTCCTAGGACGACCCCCTACTCCTCCTCCCCTCTAATACAGATTTATACGCTCTCCAAGTCATTCTATTTTGCTCCATCTTCTCTAAATGACCAGTCAACTCAAGAACCCATCTTCAGCCCTCTGATTAATAATTTTAGTAACTCCACACCACCACCTAATTTCCACACTATGAATTCCCTGCAATAGTACATATTTACACCACACATTGCCCTTAGATACGACATCTCTACTGCCTCCAGCCGCCTCCTGGCTGCAGCATTTACAACCCGTGCATTACACCCATATAAGATCGTTGGTGCCACTATACTCTCATACATTCCCTTCTTTGCCTCCATGGATAACGTTTCTTGTCTCCACAGATACCTCAATACACCCCTCGCCTTTTTTCCTTCATCAATTCTATGGTTAACCTTGTCCTTCATAAACCCATCTGCTGACAAGTCAACTCCCAAATATCTTTTTATATTTATACAGAAAGCATGCGTGAGCGTGTTAGATAGGAGTGAATGGAGACAAATGGTATTTGGGACCTGACGATCTGTTGGAGTGTGAGCAGGGTAATATTTAGTGAAGGGATTCAGGGAAACCGGTTACTTTATGTAACCGGACATGGAAATGGGAAGTACAATGCCTGCACTCTAAAGGAGGGGTTTGGGATATTGGCAGTTTGGAGGGATATATTGTGTATTTTTGTACGTATATACTTCTAAACTGTTGTGTTCTGGGCACCTCTGCAAAAACAGTGATTATGTGTGAGCGAGGTGAAAGTGTTGAATGATGATGAAAGTATTTTCTTTTTGGGGATTTTCTTTCTCTTTGGGTCACCCTGCCTCAGTGGAAGATGGCCGACTTGTTGAAAAAAAAAAAATTATAAAGGAGGAGTAGTTATTAGCCCCTTGCTCTTGGTATTTTAGATACCTCTTATGACACGTTTGGCTCTCGGAGGTAAGATTATTTTCCCTTTTCCCATGGAAACGATTTAATATTGTAAGTAAATAAGTGTTTTGAAGTGTGTTGCTGAAAAGCGAAGGGTCACACTGAATGTGTGTGATGATTTTTTCACCTCTTAAATATGAAGGTTAATTGGTAAAAATTTTTTTCTAGGAAACTGGGTCTGGACTTAGTACCCCGTGTTGATGGTGAGATGGTAGATCCTGATGCTGTGAGTGTGGTAGAGCTTCACCAAGTGGTATGTAATCTTCATCTTCACTGTTTTCATTGTATCCATGTGTAAGTGCTAAATTTCTAGTATAAACACACAGCAGATAAACACTTTTATTTATAATTGTAATGGTCATAAAGCACCTGGGAGGTAATAAGGTTGGATCCAAGGAAAGAGGGGGTAGCCCCAATTCCTTGGATCAAGAACTCTTAACTGGCATGAAGGTGCATTTCCTGAAGATTACAGCCAACAGAAATAATTCAAAAGCTGTATAATAATTTTTAAAATGTTTAAATTTTCGTGAAATTTATTGACGTTTAATTCTTTTTTACCATAACTGTTTCTCACCAAGGTAGATTGCCCAACGGAAACACATTCACCATCATTCATTCAATAGTTGTTTTGCCAGAAATGTGCGTATATCACAGTTGAAATGACACTCCAAAGTGCAGCATCCATACCAATATTTTTTTTTTTTTTTTTTTAAAGTCGGCAGTCTCCCACTGAGGCAGGGTGACCCAAAAAGAAAGAATGCTAGGTACTTTTATTGTTTAATGTTATTTGGTTTTTCTTATTTTGCAGCCCATCCTCTTATTCAAAGTTAGTATTTCACAGTTGTTCTGATAGTGGGATGGGTGATTGTTCATAAGGCTTAAACAGTGATTTTCTGACAGTATTTTAGAGTGCGATTGGTGGGTCCAATTTCCTGTTCGATCTTCAATATTGTTCATTGCCTCTGTGTAATATTTAATTTATTGGTAATTTATATTAATAGTTAGCAATATAACCAAACATAACCTAAATAATGCAAATCAAGAAATTTGCCTAGAACTGTTTGTGAGGAATTGACTTAGAATTTGCCTTAACAGATTGCATTTTGCAACCTAACTTCCTGGTGTTTTAGGCATTCTGTGTATTTTCTGTTTATCTCTGTGGTAATTTTTTCTACAGATGGGCCCAAGAGAAGAAAAACAATTAGCTACTACGAATAAGTACTCTTCGAAGATGCTGATTTCAGTTGTTCAGTATTTTTTACTGAAGAAATCTCTGTAAATATTTTCTAAAAATAGCATGTCTGCAATGCCCACCTTGTTTTGGCTTGGTACATGACCCACGAATTGAAAACCAATCATAGAATTTGGTTCAAAACGTTCATGCTAGATTTCCTCTGCCAAATGTTTTCATGGTAATAGCTCATTCTTATAAAGCCAATATTAATTAGACTAAATAAATTTTTAAAGAAGAGAAGAAGAAAAATTTTATAAAACTGGGATGCTTGAATGTGCGTGGATGTAGTGCGGATGACAAGAAACAGATGATTGCTGATGTTATGAATGAAAAGAAGTTGGATGTCCTGGCCCTAAGCGAAACAAAGCTGAAGGGGGTAGGGGAGTTTCGGTGGGGGGAAATAAATGGGATTAAATCTGGAGTATCTGAGAGAGTTAGAGCAAAGGAAGGGGTAGCAGTAATGTTGAAGGATCAGTTATGGAAGGAGAAAAGAGAATATGAATGTGTAAATTCAAGAATTATGTGGATTAAAGTAAAGGTTGGATGCGAAAAAGTGGGTCATAATAAGCGTGTATGCACCTGGAGAAGAGAGGAATGTAAAGGAGAGAGAGAAATTTTGGGAGATGTTAAGTGAATGTATAGGAGCCTTTGAACCAAGTGAGAGAGTCATTGTGGTAGGGGATCTGAATGCTAAAGTAGGAGAAACTTTTAGAGAGGGTGTGGTAGGTAAGTTTGGGGTGCCAGGTGTAAATGATAATGGAAGCCCTTTGATTGAACTTTGTATAGAAAGGGGTTTAGTTATAGGTAATACATATTTTAAGAAAAAGAGGATAAAAAAGTATACAAGATACGATGTAGGGCGAAATGACAGTAGTTTGTTGGATTATGTATTGGTAGATAAAAGACTGTTGAGTAGACTTCAGGATGTACATGTTTATAGAGGGGCACAGATATATCAGATCACTTTCTAGTTGTAGCTACACTGAGAGTAAAAGGTAGATGGGATACAAGGAGAATAGAAGCATCAGGGAAGAGAGAGGTGAAGGTTTATAAACTAAAAGAGGAGGCAGTTAGGGAAAGATATAAACAGCTATTGGAGGATAGATGGCTAATGAGAGCATAGGCAATGGGGGTCGAAGAGGTATGGGGTAGGTTTAAAAATGTAGTGTTAGAGTGTTCAGCAGAAGTTTGTGGTTACAGGAAAGTGGGTGCGGGAGGGAAGAGGAGCGATTGGTGGAATGATGATGTAAAGAGAGTAGTAAGGGAGAAAAAGTTAGCATATGAGAAGTTTTTACAAAGTAGAAGTGATGCAAGGAGGGAAGAGTATATGGAGAAAAAGAGAGAGGTTAAGACAGTGGTGAAGCAATGTAAAAAGAGAGCAAATGAGAGAGTGGGTGAGATGTTATCAACAAATTTTGTTGAAAATAAGAAAAAGTTTTGGAGTGAGATTAACAAGTTAAGGAAGCCTAGAGAACAAATGGATTTGTCAGTTAAAAATAGGAGAGGAGGTTATTAAATGGAGGTTAGAGGTATTGGGAAGATGGAGGGAATATTTTGAGGAATTGTTAAATGTCGATGAAGATAGGGAAGCTGTGATTTCGTGTATAGGGCAAGGAGGAATAACATCTTGTAGGAGTGAGGAAGAGCCAGTTGTGAGTGTGGGGGAAGTTCGTGAGGCAGTAGGTAAAATGAAAGGGGGTAAGGCAGCTGGGATTGATGGGATAAAGATAGAAATGTTAAAAGCAGGTGGGGATATAGTTTTGGAGTGGTTGGTGCAATTATTTAATAAATGTATGGAAGAGGGTAAGGTACCTAGGGATTGGCAGAGAGCATGCATAGTTCCTTTCCTTTGTATAAAGGCAAAGGGGACAAAAGAGAGTGCAAAAATTATAGGGGGATAAGTCTGTTGAGTATACCTGGTAAAGTGTATGGTAGAGTTATTATTGAAAGAATTAAGAGTAAGACTGAGAATAGGATAGCAGATGAACAAGGAGGCTTTAGGAAAGGTAGGGGATGTGTGGACCAGGTGTTTACAGTGAAACATGTAAGTGAACAGTATTTAGATAAGGCTAAAGAGGTCTTTGTGGCATTTATGGATTTGGAAAAGGCGTATGACAGGGTGGATAGGGGGGCAATGTGGCAGATGTTGCAGGTGTATGGTGTAGGAGGTAGGTTACTGAAAGCAGTGAAGAGTTTTTATGAGGATAGTGAGGCTCAAGTTAGAGTATGTAGGAAAGAGGGAAATTATTTCCCAGTAAAAGTAGGCCTTAGACAAGGGTGTGTGATGTCACCGTGGTTGTTTAATATATTTATAGATGGGGTTGTAAGAGAAGTAAATGCGAGGGTCTTGGCAAGAGGTGTGGAGTTAAAAGATAAAGAATCACACATAAAGTGGGAGTTGTCACAGTTGCTCTTTGCTGATGACACTGTGCTCTTGGGAGATTCTGAAGAGAAGTTTTAATGTTGCAGTTTAAAAACTGAAGTGTAAAGCACCCTTCTGGCAAGACAGTGATGGAGTGAATGATGGTGAAAGTTTTTCTTTTTTGGGCCACCCTGCCTTGGTGGGAATCGGCCAGTGTGATAAAAAAAAAAAAAAAAAAAAAATTAAAGAAAAATTTTTTGAGCGAGATAAATAGGTTAAGAAAGCCTAGGGAATGAATAGATTTGTCAGTTAAAGAGTAGAGTAAGGGAGTTAGTAGATGGGGAGTTAGAGGTATTGGGAAGATGGTGGGAGTATTTGAGGACTTTCATTTGTTGATGAAGAGAGGGAGGCAATAATTTCATGCACTGGCCAAGGAGATATAACATCTTTTAGGAGTGAAGAAGAGCTGGATGTGAGTGTTGGGGAGGTGAGTGAGGCATTACGTAGAATGAAAGGGGGGTAAAGCAGCTGGAACTGATGGGATCATGACAGAATTGTTTAAGGCAGGTGGGGGTATAGGGTTTTATTCTATTTTCTTGCTAGTTTTTGTTGTTTATTTTTTCTTTTCTCCATGGGGAAGTGGAACAAAATTCTTCCTCCATAAGCCATGCGTGTCATAGCAGGCGACTAAAATACCGGGAGCAAGCAGCTAGTAACCCCTTCTGTATACATTACTGATTTTAAAAAGAGAAACTTATATCTTTCTTTTTAGGTCACCCCAACTCGGTGGGATATGAGTGTACCAGGAAAAGTATGGTAGGGTTATTATTGAAAGAATTAGATGTAAGACAGAGAGCAGGATTACAGATGAACAAGGAGGCTTTAGAATGGGTAGGGGATGTATAGATCATGTTTACATTGATGCATGTATGTGAACAGTATTTACATAAAGGTAGGGAAGTTTTCATTGCATTTACGGATTTAAAAAAGGCATATGATAGGATGGATGGGGGAGCAGTGTGGCAGATTTTGCAAGTGTATGGTATAGGTAGTAAGTAACTAAATCCTGTAAAGAGTTTTTACAAGAATAGTGAGGCTCAGGTTAGGGTGTGTAGGAGAGAGGGAGAGTACAGTGGACCCTCAGCTAGCGATATTAATCCGTTCCTGAAAGCTCATCGTTGGCTGAAATTATCATTAGCTGAAGTAATTTTCCCCATAAGAAATAATGGAAATCAAATTAATCTGTTCCTGACACCCCAAAGTATGAAAAAATTTTTTTTTACCACATGAAATATTAATTTTATTACACACAAACTGACACTTACCTTTATTGAAGATCTGGTGATGATTGATGGGATGGGAGGAGGGGAGAGTGTAGATGTTGTTAATGTTTAGAAGGGGAATTCCCTTCCATTAGGACTTGAGGTAGCAAGTCCTTTTCCGGGGTTACTTCCCTTCTTCTTCTAATGCCACTAGGACCAGCTTGAGAGTCACTGGACCTCTGTCGCACAACATATCTGTCCATAGAGGCCTGTACCTCCCGTTCCTTTATGACTTTCCTAAAGTGTTTCACAACATTGTCAGTGTAATAGTCACCAGCACGGCTTGCAATAGCCATGTGAGGGTGATTTTCATCAAAAAAAGTTTGCACTTCAAGCCACATTGCACACATTTCCTTAATCTTTGAAGTAGGCAACTTCCTCAATTTCTCTATCCCCTCCTCCGGAGCAGTTTCTTCAGGTCTGGCCTTTTGCTCATGTCCCCAGAAAGTCGCTCTGCCACGTCTGAAGGATGACCAGGAGCATTGTCTAATACCAGGAGGCACCTAAAGTCCAATTTATTTTCCAGGAGGTAATTTTTAACAGTGGGGGCAAATGCATGGTGTAACCAGCCATAGAAAAGGTCTCTAGTGACCCATGCCTTACTGTTTGCCCTCCACATCACACACAAATTAACCTTGAGGACATTGTTTCTTCTGAACACACTGGGAGTTTCAGAGTGATACACCAATAAAGGCTTCACTTTGCAATCACCACTAGCATTAGCACACATCAAGAGAGTAAGCCTGTCTTTCATAGGCTTATGTCCTGGGAGTGCCTTTTCCTCCTGAGTAATGTAGGTCCTGTTTGGCATTTTCTTCCAAAACAGGCCTGTTTCATCGCAATTAAACACTTGTTCAGGTTTCAATTCTTCACTGTCTATGTAATCCTTGAATTCCTTCACATATTTTTCAGCCACTTTTTGGTCTGAACTGGCAGCATCAACCATGTCTTATCACATTATGTATGCCACTATGATTCTTAAATCTCTCAAACCAACCTTTGCTGGCCTTAAATTCACTCACATCACCACTAGTTGCAGGCATTTTTCTAATTAAATTGTCATTCAACTTCCTAGCCTTTTCACATATAATCGCTTGAGAGATGCTATCTCCTGCTATCTGTTTTTCGTTTATTCACACCAATAACAGTCTCTCAACATTTTCTATCACTTGCGATCTCTTATTCGAAAGCAAAGTTGCACCTTTGGCAAGAACAGCTTCCTTGATTGCCGTTTTCTTGGCCACAATAGTAGCGATGGTTGATTGGGGTTTTGTATACAACCTGGCCAGCTCGGAGACACGCACTCCACTTTCGTACTTAGCAATTATCTCTTTCTTCATATCCATAGTAATTCTCACCCTTTTTCCTGTAGGGTTGGCACTAGAAGCTTTCTTGGGGCCCATGGTGACTTATTTTGCAGGTACAACCACTAAGAACGCTGTGATAATATGAAGTGTTCCGATTGCATGCTTGGATGCGACCGCATTGGCTGGCTTGTAAACACTGGCACCCACGGGACAAGTGAGGCGGGCTCAGGCCACACGTGGACGCGTCTCGAACGAATCATGTTGGGCGAGTTTTGTAGCGCTAGCCGAGGCAAAATTTTTGCGTTAAAATGTATCGCTAGCCGGATTTAACGTTAAGTGATGCCGTCGTTACCTGAGGGTCCACTGTACTTCCCAACAAAAGTAGGTCGTCGACAGGTATGCGTAATGTCACCATGATTGTTTAACATATTTATGAATGGGGTTGTAAAAGAAGTAAATGCTAGGGTATTGGGAAGAGGGGTGAGATTAAATTTTGAGGAATCAAATACAAAATGGGAGTTGACACAGTTACTTTTTGCTGATGATACTGTGCTCATGGGAGATTTTAAAGAAAAGTTACATGGGTTAGTGGACGAGCTTAGGAGGGCATGTAAAGGAAGAAAGTTGAAAGTGAACATAGATAAGAATAAGATGATGAGGGTATCAAATGATTTAGGTAAAGAAAAATTATATATCACATTGGAGGGAGGGTCTATGGAAAAAGTGAATGTGTTCAGATATTTGGGAGTTGACTTGTCAGTAAATGGGTTTATGAAGGATGAGGTTAACCATAGAATTGATGAAGGAAAAAAGGTGAGTGGTGCTTTGAGGTATCTGTGGAAACAAAAAAAATGTTATCCATGGAGGCAAAGAAAGGAATGTACGAGAGGATAGTGGTACCAACACTCGTATGTGGGTGTGAAGCATGGATTGTAAATGCTGCAGCGAGGAGGAGGCTGGAGGCAATGGAGATGTCGTGTCTGAGGGCAATGTGTGGTGTATATATTATGCAGAGAATTCAGTGTGTGGAAATTAAGAGGAGGTGTGGAATTACTAAAAGTATTAATCAGAGGACTGAAGAGGGGTTCTTAAGGTGGTTTGGTCATTTAAAGAGAATGGAACAAAGAAGAATGGCTTGGAGAGCATGTAAATCTGTAGTGCAAGGAAGGCAAGGTAGGGGTCATCCTAGGAAATGTTGGAGAGAGGGGTAGAGGAGGTTTTGTGTGTGAGGGGGCTTTGGACTTCCATCAAGTGTGAGTGAGCATGTTAGGAGTGAATGGAGATGAATAGTTTTTGGCACCTGATGAGCTGTTGGAGTGTGAGCAGGATAATATTTTGTAAAGTGATTCAGGGAAACCGGTTAGCTGGACTTGAGTCCTGGAAATGTGAAGTACAATGCCTGTACTTTAAAGGACGGGTTTGGGATATTGGCTGTTTGGAGTGACATCTAAATTCTCGTATCTAAGCGCCTCTGCAGAGACAGTGATTATATATGAAGGATGGTGAAAGTGTTGAATGATGAAAGTTTTTCTTTCTTTTTGGGTCACCCTACCTTGGTGGGAAACAGCCGATGTGTTAGAAAAAAAATAGATATTATATAAGCCTCTAAAATATAACATGAGCCAAGCCTAATAAAATTCATTCAACTAAGTGTCTTTTTACACACTAGGAAGGTTGGTATGGGCTTCATTATGACCACAAATATAGATTTTTACAAACAAGTCTCACATTAGCATGGCTGTAGCAAGCTCTTGCTTAAATTCCTTCAAAGCTGTCATGAATGACGATATTCGAGGTTTTGGATTGGCAAAAAAAATCTAGGAATAGTTCCATGTGAATTTGAGGGGCAGAGGGAGGAGAGGTTCACTGAGTGGGATGTGCATTTCTGAAAAGTAAGCTAGAGATTGTGATTCTGAATGTGTTTTCATCTTTGGGTCATCCTTCCTCAGTGGGAAGTAACTGATGTGTTATAATATAAATTGTTCCTGGTGGTGAGAATCTTCTTCAGACAGTGTTAAGCTTTGTGCTGTAGAAGATGTTTGTTTAGCAAAATGTACATGGGATGTACTTTTTAGTCATTTCGAAGGAAAAATATCATTATGATTGAAATATTTTTATGCAAGGTTACCCAGCAGCTATAAAAGCAAAATTGTCAACAAAGCCCATCTGTAACATAGTTAGGTATTGCATCTTATTTCCCTACTCACTTCATTTAAGACCATTAGTTATTGTGACCATCAAGTGAATATAGGTGAAACACTTCAGTCAGTTCTTATTTGAAGTGCTTTTGAAACATTTTGATTTCTGTAATAAAAGACTTGAAACAATCTTATCACATTCAGAGGACCATAAACATGGTTATACACTTTACTCAGTACTTTTCATAATTTAAGCACGTTGTAATATTCACTACATGATTGTTTTTCCCAACAGCATGTCCAGAGTGCCGAGGCTTCACAGTCGCATTCACAGGTGAGTCACGTGCGTGTGCTGCTCATTAATTCACAACTGACACACATTTTGGAGAGAAAATTTTAGAATATGTTTTGGTCCATACTGGACAGACCAAAACAGTCAATTTTTTTTTTCCCAGTTAACCCAGACTGGGTTAATTGTGAATTATTCCAGCTTCAGTATTGTGACTTCTTTTTTTTTTTCTGCTCGGAAATAGCTTATAGCTGCTGCATCACTTAAGTTGTTGTTGTTGCTGCTGCATCACTTTCTTTAACATGTTTCTACTGCTGTTTCACTTTTTTAAACATATTGCTACTACTGCATCATGTGCTGGTATGGTATAGACATACCTTAATTTGCTGCTGAAGCATAAACATGCTTCCAGGGTACAGACTTGTATTTAGCATTCAGTGTCCAAGATATTAGGAAGCTATATGGGCAATGATGATAATTTTAAAGTCTGAAGGGCATAAAAGTTTAGTTCTTAAAGGAAAATATTTGATGCTTCCTTTACTTGAATAGTCCTGTTGGTGTATGTGACACATGCCACATATAGGTCAATGTGCTGCTTGTCATAGGTCGTGGAGAAATACAGTGGACCCTTGACCAACGATGGCATCGTATAACATTAAATCCGACTAGCGATACATTTTAATGCAAAAATTTTGCCTCGACTAGCGCTAAAAAACTCGACCAACACGATTCGTTCCGTTTGAGACATGTCCATGTGTGGCCTGCACAGTGTTTACAAGCCAGCCACCGCAGTTGCATCCAAACATACAATCGGAACACTTCATATTATCACAGCGTTTTTAGTGATTGCACCTGCAAAATAAGTCACTATGGGCCCCAAGAAAGCTTCTAGTGCCATCCCTGTGATAAAAAGGGTGAGAATTAGTATGGAAATTAAGAAAGATTTTGAAGGGTTTGGGGCTAACCCTGAGATGCCTATGCCAGTTGTGGAATCCATTGTTCCTACTTCAAAGAATAAGGAAATGTATGCAAAGTGGGTTGAACTGCAAACCTTTATGGATGAAAATTACCCAAACACAGCTATTGCAAGCCGTGCTGGTGACTATTACAATGACAATGTTGTGGCCCATTTTAGACAAATCATAAAGGAACGGGAGGTACAGAGCTCTATGGACAGATATGTTGTGCGACAGAGGTCCAGTGACTCTCAAGCTGGTCCTAGTGGCATTAAAAGAAGAAGGGAAGTAACCCTGGAAAAGGACTTGACACCTCAAGTCCTAATGGAAGGGGATTCCCCTTCTAAACACTAACACCATCCACACACTCCCCTCCTCCCATCCCATCAATCATCACCAGATCTTCAATAAAGGTAAGTGTCATGTAATTGTACATGTCTTCAGTTTGTGTGTATTAAAATTAATATTTCATGTGGTAAAAAATTTTTTTTTTCAATACATTGGGGTGTCAGGAATGGATTAATTTCATTTCCATTATTTCTTAAGGGGAAAATTAACTCGACTAACGATAATTTCGACTAACAATGAGCCCTCAGGAACGGATTAATATCGTTGGTCGAGGGTCCACTGTACGGTGGAATTTTCTTAGTGGTGAGTGGTAGTAAGTAGTCTTGAGGTTCATGGTAGGTGCTTCACTCGTGTAATTTAAAATACAGTGGACCCCCGGTTAACGATATTTTTTCACTCCAGAAGTATGTTCAGGTGCCAGTACTGACCGAATTTGTTCCCATAAGAAATATTGTGAAGTAGATTAGTCCATTTCAGACCCCCAAACATACACATACAAACGCACTTACTTAAATACACTTACATAATTGGTCGCATTCGGAGGTAATCGTTATGCGGGGGTCCACGGTATTCAAGTAACTGATCCAGCTTTGTCATTGCATTACACTCGTGGTATGTGGTTGTCTTTTACAGTATATTCCATCTTAATCCTTTAACATTCTCTTGCATAGATCTGCATCATTAAAATAAAACAGTGACATACTAGGCACTTATTCAAATAATTTTGGCAAACTTACCCTAAAGCTTATATAATACAGTGGTACCTCGAGTTTTGAACAGCTCCCAACTCAAACAGTTATGTAAGTGTGTTTTTGTTAATGCATTTTTGGTGATCTGAAATGTACTATTCTAATTTACATTATTCCTTATGGGAACAAATTCGTTCGGTATCGGCACTCGAACAGCCTTTTGGTATGAATTAAGTTTTTGAACAAGTTGATTCATGTGTGTGGCAATATCAGAGATACTTGGTCCTTTATTTTGTCCTTGTGTACTGTTGCAGCTCTCTGGATAGAATTTAAATGGGTTAATGCTTGTATTTAGTATCGTGTAGACATAGCATGCACAGTAGAAAGTGTGAATATTTTTGTATGTTAAATAAATTTAAACTTTTGAATAAGGTTGTGGGTGGGTAGGGCCTTGAGGTTGATTGAGTGATTGTACTGAGATTTTTACTCAATAACAACAGGTTTCAGGTGATTGGCCAATGTTAGTCTACATGTATAGATACCATAGGTGAGGTATGGGTAGATTAGAGAGTAGTAGAAAGTGAGCAGGGGTGTTTGGAGTACATAATAGTGTATATTGAGGCCAGTGTCACTGTTGTAGGTGTCTTCATCACAGTGCACCCTCAAGTTTATTGTGAGTGGTAAATTTTGGCCCATTTGGATGGTGTGCATAGTACAAGAGAAATCCTGACCCACACAGTACATGCGCCTTTGTGTTTGGGTTAAAATAGTAATTTTGAGGCATTTTTCTAGGGTGGTTTTCGTGGTTTTGTTGGCTGTTTCTTGGTGTCATTTAATAAAATCGAGATAATTTAGTTCAGTTTTGGACTGGAAGTGGCCAGAAAGTAGCAGAAATATTCACCATTTGGCAGTTTTCCTGAGGAAGGGTTGGGGCATTCCCTAATGTTCCCCTCTTGTCTACATGATGGGTATTTACTTGGTCTGCTTCAATTATTTGGATGGTCTAAACCATAATCCATACATATTTTGTTAGGCAAGAATATGGTAAAACTCTGATTTTTCATTAATCATATCCTTGTAGAGGCCCATAGACATAATGATTAGGGGAAAAGTTATCTTATGGCTGAAATGCCTATTGTTTATTTTGGACTCTGTTTTTAAATTGGAATTTGTTGAATTTTTATCTAAAACTTCTGGGTGCTTTATAGGACTATTCTCGTGTTCAGTCAGTAAAACTAGCATAACAGCCTGGAACTGATTCAGTTTGAGCACTGGAATTGATTGAAAATATGCCTTAGAGGGGGGAAAATTGCTGTTGCATGAAATACTTCCTGACCTACAACTTTGCACCTGCATAATTCTGCAAGTTTTCCATCCTGTTTTATATTTTCAGTATCATTACCTTTAGTAAAAGATTCTCTACCATTTTAAAAGGTATTATTATTGTATAATTTTATTTTCTAGCCGTAGAAATTAACAGTGGTCCTAGATGGAGATAAACCTCTTATAATTTTAATTTTCATCATGTTGGTTTCTTGTGAATTGTGACAATTGTGATGTTACATTTATTAATTCTTTCCAAGTCTCTATCCTTTATCTCTCCCAAAGAACCTTATTAGGTCACAGATCTAGAAAAGATTATAGAGCTATATGTTAAAGAATTGGGGAAGAAAAGAGCGCTTTTTCATGAAGTATACCTACCATCCGACTTACGACCGAGTTCGGTTCCGAGAAACCGGTCGTAAGTCGAAATGGTCGTAAGTCGAACTTTATTACTGAATATCAACAAAACATTTTTGTAATGAATTCATTTTATTGTTTTATTTTAGTATTTCATGTTTTACTTTACTTTTTATGCTGTTAGTACTGTATTTTATACTGTAAGGTTTAGGATAAACACTGTGTACAACACAAATAGTTGTTTACTTCCCAGAAATTTGGCATAAAAAACACGGTTGTAAGTCGAGTGGTCGTAAGTCGAGCAGGTCGTAAGTCGGATGGTAGGTGTATCTATAGAGAAATGGTTTTGAAACTACAGGTCAGATGGGAAGTCAGGGAATTGAACAGAAAATATCAAGGAATTCATGAAAATAAAATGAGAATGGCCTGGAAAAAATATTAACTTTATGGAATTTTTTATGTAATAGAGATTATGAATGAAAAAAAAAATAGATAATCTTGATCGTGCTGAAACCAAATTAGTTAGCATGGAAAATGGAAAGACACATGAAAGGGTGTTGGAAAAAATTTGCAAATTATTGGATTTAAATTCCAAATTACAAGTCATGTAATACTGTTAGTGGCAAAAATTCAAAATCACTGTGAAAAACTTGTTCTTAGTTTCAAGGAACATAAGAGAAAACATAAAAAAAAGTAGTGTTATGAATAGAAATTGATGATAAGAGTAAGCTGTCGGGAAAATTTGTGTGCATCGTCATTTTTTGAGCACACTGGTATAATGTTCGTGTAACTATAAAGGTTTAAATTAAAAATTCATGTTGTAATGAAAGTGATATAAGAAAATTTCCTTTTGTGGGGATCTTGATACAGGGAGGTAGACCTGTTTTCCACTTCAGACTAAAAATGATTGTTTTCCATTCCCTATGTACTGTGACCATATATGGGTTATCCTAGGCTCTCTTCACATATGCTGCTATGTATGATAATTGATGTAACAGTATTTGTGTATACCTGAATAAACTTACTTAGCACTGCCACTGATTGTAATGATGATAACTTGAGGAAAATGACATAGAAGGTGCTTGCAGGGTCTTGGGACGCTGGCCAAGAGGAAGGAGAGAAGGAAGGTGCTCAGTCATCACTTGTTTTTCTGTATGAGAGACTTCTCTTATCACTTAGGCGAAGATGCTGAAATATTTTTCTCATTGTATGATGCACAGAAGGCAAAATTTATAAGGTTGGTAGTAGCAAAGTTTGTTTAGTTTAATTTATTTTGCTGTTAATAAAATCTTGTAGAAATTTCTTCTGCAATATGAAATTGTACTGCTTTATTTTCTTTTGTGAAAGTCAGTAATGTATAGTTATGAAGATATTATTGATGTCAATTCTCATGCTGTTGTTACAATATTTTCAGTGAAAGATTTCTAGTCAAACTATCAAAAGAAGGTTTCTCAAATTATGTAGAAAAAATCCACAGCAACTGCACAATATTCACGGTGAGTATTGTTGTGTTGTTTCATATAGGTTCTTTCTGCCCTTCATCTTTGTTATTATCATTTCCATCTAGTAACAGATGGGTAATGTGAAGAGTTTCAGGCTGGTGTGTTTTCACATAATATTAGTCTATCTCATACTTTTGTGTTAATATCAGTATTTACTTTTCATGTAAATATATTATTGTGGATTCTGCTAACAATGGCAACACTCACTGCTTTTCTGACAATTATATTTTTTATGGCTTAATTTTATTTTAATGATCTTGCTTCAAGAAAGAGTTATGTGAAAACTAATCAAAAGTAGAATAGGTAAATTCTGATATTTCTCATACAACAGCTAGGAAATTTATTGCTGTGGAATTTTTTGTTGCTTACTGAACCAAATACTGCACTGTACATGACATTTAGCAACAAACTAGAATATCTTTTTTTGAATTATGACTTTCAGTAATACAAATACTGTTCCTCTGTCACTTCAGTCATTGAGATTCTTGGCTTAAAAATTTCATATAAACTCTTCTTGAATACTTGTTCCAGTGGGTTATCTTGATGCTGGTGAAGAACTCTTGATCTAAGAAATTGGAGCTACCCTCCCTCTTGGTATAAAACTTGAATACCTCCTATTTCTCAGGAAAGTAATGTAACACATTCAATTCACAACCAAAGTGCTCTGGTTGAATCCTAGACAGGTGGAAATAATAATCAAGTCTCTTTACACATATTGTCCTTGTTTACCTATCAATAACTATCCAGGTACCTTTGTTTTATCACACCTGTGGATGGTAGACTGGTAATATATATTAGATAGGTCTGGGCTTTGAAACAAACTGACCTATTAATTTACCTGTCTAAATTAATAATGAACAAAAATTTTTAGGCTTAGAATTTTCTGAAAATTTTGTTTGATAGCCAAGAGCCACTGAGGAATGGACAGTCTGGGATTTTGACTTTATTTTGTCAAATTTCTGCTTTAATTAAATTTAGAATAAATATTTTTATGACTGTACTGTCCAGTTAAAGATATGTGAGGCTGATTTTTGCTAGTCATTTTTACTGTATTTTTTAGGTTAAGGTTCATTTGTTAAGTAATATTTTGTTTATATAATTAAGCCATGGAATATTATATCACTAAATTATAGTAATTTTTTATTTTGGTTTGCCATAATAATTGTATAGACATCATTTATGCAATTAATTAAGCATTTTTTTTTTTAACACGCTGGCCATCTCACACCGAAGCAGGGTCACCAAAAAAAAGAAGCGCTTCACCATCATTCACACTATTACTGTCTTGTCAGAGGCAAATGGATACAACACTTTAGATGTACTAAACAGCAAATATCCCAAACCCCTCCTTGAAAGTGCAGGCATTGTGCTACTCGCCTCTAGGATTCCAGCTAACCATTTTCCCTGAATGCCTTCGCAAAATATTACTTTGCTGAAACTCCAATAGCTCGTCAAGCCCCAAAAGTTATTTGTCTCCATTCACTCCTATCTAACACGCTCGTATGTGCCTGCTATACGTCCAAGCCCCCTTGCACACAAAACCTCCTTTACCCCCTCCCTTCATCCTTTCCTAGGATGACCCCTACCCCTCCTTCCCTCCACCACGAATTTATACACCCTCCATGCCATCCTATTTTGCTCCATCCTCTCAAAATGACCAAACCACCTCAGCAACCCCTCCTTAGCCCTCTGAATAATACTTTTAGTAGTTCTGCACCTCTTCCTATTTTCCTCACTATGAATTCTCTGCAAAATATTTACACCACACATTGCCCTTAGACATGACATATTCACTGCCTCCAGGCTTCTCCTTGCTGCAGCATTCACAACCCATGTCTCAGACCCACATAAGAGTGTTAGTACCACACTACTCTCATACATTCCCTTCTTTGCCTCCATGGATAATGTTATTTATTAAGTCACAGAATCTTCTCCATGCCATAGACAATGTTCCTAAGTGTTGTGACCCAACACTGTGTTCTAGGGGACACTAGAACCAGCTTTGCCAGTTAATACTGTTAACTTGACACATTCTTAGTAATAAAATTTTAATATGAACTTTGAATAACTCTGTAAGAGTTACTGTGAAGTCCTTAATTATTTAAAAATTAAGTTAAATTATTGTAAACAAGTCCTCAAGAGTCCTAGGTACAGGAGGGCCCCCGCTTTACAGCGTTTCACTAATGCAGCAGTATTCGATTATACCCATTCTTCATTTATTCAGACTTCCTACAATAATTGTATTCACTACTCATTATAAGCAAAGGATGAAAATATTTTAAGGTAAGTAATGTGTATACTGTATATATATTTTTTTTACCTAGCTCTATTGCTCACTTAATAAATGAATGTTTTTTTTTTTTTTTTTTTAAACATAGCAGCTGTATCCTACTGAGGCAGGATAACCTAAAATGAAAAACGAATTTTTTTTTTAAATTTAGTAATTTATACAGGAGAAGGGGGTTACTAGCCCCTTGCTTCTAGCATTTTAGTCATCACTTATGACATGCATTGATTACGCAGGAAGAATTCTGTTCTACCTCCCCATGGAGATAGGAAATAAACAAGAACAAGAACTATTAAGAAAACTGAGAGGGGTATGTATATGCAGACTCTCCTCACTTAATGATAGAGTTCCGTTCCTGAGACCATGTCGGTAAACAAATTTGTTGCTGTATGAGGAGCATACTATAATGGTAGTGGGTTTGTGTCAGCCATCTTTGATATTGTTTTAATGTCGCCTTTGCACCTTTTATAACATTTCTGGTATATTTTTACATGTTTATACAGTAGTGTACTGTATATTGTAATAAACAGGATAGAGGCAGTCAGCTCTAATATACATCTAGGTATGCATACTGGTCAAAATGACTTCGAACAGGCGATAAATGACATGCCCATGCACTCTTCCCCAGGGCCAGACTCATGGAACTCAGTGTTCATCAAGAATTGCAAGAAGCCCCTATCACGAGCTTTTACCATCCTATGGAGAGGGAGCATGGACACGGGGGTCGTCCCACAGTTACTAAAAACAACAGACATAGCCCCACTCCACAAAGGGGGCAGTAAAGCAATAGCGAAGAACTACAGACCGATAGCACTAACATCCCATATCATAAAAATCTTTGAAAGGGTCCTAAGAAGCAAGATCACCACCCATCTAGGAACCCATCAATTACACAACCCAGGGCAACATGGGTTTCGAGCAGGTCGCTCCTGTCTGTCTCAACTATTGGATCACTACGACAAAGTCCTAGATGCACTAGAAGACAAAAAGAATGCAGATGTAATATATACAGACTTTGCAAAAGCCTTTGACAAGTGTGACCATGGCGTAATAGCGCACAAAATGCGTGCTAAAGGAATAACAGGAAAAGTTGGTAGATGGATCTATAATTTCCTCACAAACAGAACACAAAGAGTAGTAGTCATCAGAGTAAAGTCCGAGGCGGCTACGGTGAAAAGCTCTGTTCCACAAGGCACAGTACTCGCTCCCATCTTGTTTCTCATCCTAATATCCGACATAGACAAGGATATCAGCCACAGCACCGTGTCTTCCTTTGCAGATGACACCTGAATCTGCATGACAGTGTCTTCCATTGCAGACACTGCAAGGCTCCAGGCGGACATCAACCAAATCTTTCAGTGGGCTGCAGAAAACAATACGAAGTTCAACGATGAGAAATTTCAATTACTCAGATATGGTAAACACGAGGAAATTAAAACTTCATCAGAGTACAAAACAAATTTCAGGCCCCCAAACATACCCATACAAACGCACTTACATAAATACACTTACATAATTGGTCGCATTCGGAGGTAATCGTTATGCGGGGGTCCACTGTACGTCCCTGGGTGGTGTCTACCATCCTACTACCTAGGATATATGATACTGTAAACATTGTATCAGACTTTTATTCGCATTTGAAAGTATAAAAAAAAAAAAAAAAAAGGCTGTTTCGCTTCATAGCGATTTCTGCTTTACAGCAGTAGCCTGAAACCTAAACTGCTGTTTAAGCAGGGCCCTCCTGTAATAATTACTCCATTGGTCATATTTTGGTGAGATTGTATTAATGCATTTACAGTGGGAAATTGTTGTGTTTTTCTCTCACTACAGTGGACCCCTGGTTTACGATATTATTTCATCCCAGAAGTATGTTCAGGTGCCAGTACTGACCGAATTTGTTCCCATAAGGAATATTGTGAATTAGATTAGTCCATTTCAGACCCCCAAACATACACATACAAACGCACTTACATAAATACACTTACATAATTGGTCGCATTGGGAGCTGATCACAAACCAGGGGTCCACTGTACTTAGGTTTTGAACATGTATGTGCTACTTCAACCTCACTGTCAGTTTTCATTGAACAAAGCTCTACACTGTATGTATCTTAGTTCCTAATTAATCAATTGATGGTAATATTTTAATTTGTAATTTTTATTTAAGTTGTATTATTTGTCATTTACAGGATCTCGGAAGTGGTGATTTGGCTTCGGATCTGTATATTGTAGCCCATGTTGTCAGAGTTGGACGCATGTTGTTCTCTGAGTCTGTGAAGAAGATGTCGTCACATAATTATCGACGACCGTATGGTATAGCTCTCTTCAGATTAGCTCAATCTGTTCTACAAGGAGGTGAAGGAGAAGTATGTTACAAGTGTTCTTTGCAGTTTTTACTGTTTACTGGTCAGTTATTCCTATAGATGAATAAGACACTTATGCAACAGTTGGGTATCTTTTTTAACAAAATGTTTTGCCAGCACACCAGGCTTCCTTAGTCAAATACAGAGGTGGCTAAATTCCTGGAAACAGTTGAAGAAGTAGAGAGGTATTTTTGAGGTGTTCAGTCCCTCAGTTTACCTTTCCACTTTTTCAACTCTTCTTCTTTCAACAAACCGGCTGTATCCCACTGAAGCAGGGTGGCCCCAAAAAAGCAAAAACAAAAGTTAAGTTACTCTTTTCAACTTCAGTAATGTATATAGGAGAAAGGGTTACTAGCCCCTTGCTCCCGGGATTTTAGTCACCTCTTACAACATGCATGGCTTACAGAGGAAGAATTCTGTTCCACTTCCCCATGGAGATAAGAGGAAATAAACAAGAAAAAGAACTAGTAAGAAAATAAAAGAAAACCCAGAGGGGTGTGTATAATACACTTGTACATGCATGTGTAGTGTGACTTAAGTGTAAGCAGAAGTAGCAAGATGTACCTGAAATCTTGCATGTTTATGAGACAGAAAAAAGACACCAGCAAGTACAGGCTTTTGTTTTACACTCGCTTGGCAGGATGGTAGTACAGGTCCGCCATCACAAATCCGGCAATCAGTTATTCGGTTCCTTCAGTTATTCGGCACTAATTTTGGCTAGCATAATTTCAAATTTCCAGGGTCACCACACCAACCTGCTGGTGCATAAGTCATGCTAATTTCTTTTTCTCCATTTGTTATTACCTGCTTACTTTTAGCCCTAGCCATGGTTCCAATGAATAAAAGAAATGCTTTTTGTTGTGTAATGCACCGACACAGTACATTGTCCATTAAAGATAAGGTGGCTTTGAAGCCACTGTCGGTTGTCATGAGCTCAGTCTTGTGATGCAGTCTTGTGCTTTATTATTACGCTAATATCAACACTACAGCTTATTGCCTATACAATTGATCTAATGTGACATAATAAACAATATAAATAACATAAAACATGTTAAATAGTCCAGAATAAATAATATTTGGCATAACACCGAGCAGTTCGACAGAGTTATGAAGAGGATATGGTATACAAATACCATTCTCCTATCCCTGTCTTGGGGGCTTATATTAGAGAAAACAGTATAGTGCAGGGCTAACTGTGATATACACTCGTACTGCACCATAAGCCTGAAACAAAAGTTATTTTCTCTATGTAGATTATCACACATAGCAGCATATGTGTAGAGAACCTAGGATAACCCAAAAAAGTCAACGTGGCTTATTTTTAGTACCTGGCTTGGATTAGCCATATATGATTTTTGGTAAATATTCGATTCCCAGCCAGGGTAGAAACATTAGGCGCGTTTCTTTGTACCTTTTGTCTATGTTCACCCATCAGTACATGGGTACCTGGGTGTTAGCCCACTAATGTGGGTGTTATCCTGGGACACTGACCTAATTTTCTTGTAATACTCTGCATAACAAGCGACTTTCTATATAGTAGTATGTCACTGATGTCAACTATGTCTATATCCCATGTACATGTACGTGTAGTAAATAAAATTATTATTATTATTATTATTATTATTATTATTATTATTATTATTATTTTTTCAATTGTTTGTTGGGTTATCTTAATGAAACTTGGGCAGTGTATGATGGAAAAAGATGCTTCTTAACGTACACCAAAAATGAAAGAAATCAGACCATAAATAGCGGAGTTCACTTCTCAGCCGTTAGCGGCCGCTTAGCGGTATATTTTTGTATGGTTTTATGGTTATATTCTCGTTTTTCAGTCTCATTTGATAGAACGAAAGATATATTACAGAAATAGATATGATTTTGATTGCTTTTATGACGAAAAGTACCTTGAAATTGCGCTCACAGTAGCGAATTTTCAAGAGTAAACATATGACGTCACCGTCCAGTACCTGTCCACCTGCCAGTCAAAATTCCAATAGGGAGTCAAGAATGGGTTGACATTATTTATACAATTATTACAATAATGCAGCAGTCTGCATAACAGTAAATCTTATATTTTTTTGTGAATAAAAATTCCAAATGGAAAGCAGGAGTAATATAAGAGGGGCCTGGAGCCATGACTTATGAACAGAGAAAATATTATTTTAGTGCCAGGAATGTCTGCATTGTTTATTCTGGACCCTATTTTGAAATTGGCATCTGATGAAATTTGTGTGAAATTGGCCAAATTGCCAATTTCTGACCACTATATTGGGTAGTTGAAATAAGTGAATGGGAAGTCTCTTATACTCGGTTGACAGACTAGAAGTAAATAAGTTTATTCAGGTATACACAAATACAGTTACATAGATCATACATAGCAGTGTATGTATAGAGAACCTAGGATAACCCAAAAAAGTCAGACAGTGACTTACTTCCAGCACTGGGCTTGGGCTTGCCATATATGATTTCTGGTAAATATTTTTTTCTCTCAGTTGTTTGTTGGGCTGTCTTATTGAAATTTGGGCAATGTATGGTGGAAAGATGCTTCTTAACGTACAACAAGAATAAAAAAGACAGACGATAAATGAGGGAGTTCACTTCTCAGCCATTAGCCGCTTCTTTGCGGTATATTTTCATATGGTTTTTTGGTTGTATTCTCGCTTTTTTTATCTCATTTGATAGAATGGAAGATATATTACAGAAATAGACATGATTTTGATTGCTTTCATGACGAAAAGTACCTTGAAATTGAGCTCAAAGTAGCGGAAATGTTTGATTTTTGCCGATGTTCAATGAACTTTGTGTAAGTCAAGTTGATTAATTTTATTAAGTGTATTCTAACCTAACCACTCTATAATCTGGCAAACTCAGTAATCCGGCACACTACAGGTCCCAATGATCCTGGATTTGTGATGGAGGACCTGTACCTCCCTGGGCAGTTGCTGTCTACCATTTTCTTCTTCTTTCAACGTACCAGCCGTATCCCACTGAGGTGGGGTGGTCCAAAAGAAAAAACTAAAGTTTCTCCTTTTAAATTTAGTAATATGTAGAGGAGAAGGGGTTACTAGCCCCTTGCTCCCGGCATTCTAGTCGCCTCTTACAACACGCATGGCTTACAGAGGAAGAATTCTGTTCCACTTCCCCATGGAGATAAGAGGAAATAAACAAGAACAAGAATTAGAAAGAAAATAGAAGAAAACCCAGAGGGGTGTGTATATATATGCTTGTACACGTATGTGTAGTGTGACGTACCTGTAATCTTGCATATTTATGAGACAGACAAAAGACACCAGCAATCCTACCATCATGTAAAACAATTACAGGCTTTCGTTTTACACTCACTTGGCAGGACGGTAGTACCTCCCTGGGCGGTTGCTGTCTACCAATATACTATCTAGAAATTTTTTAACTGTCTTCATTAATTCAATCATTTTTGTTTTCATCTGAAGAAACCTGCCAAGTATGTGAATTGTTTTGCCAGTAATGATACAGTGCCCAGTTGTTGCACATTGTTCATTTACTCAGACTTCCTACAATAAATGTATTCACCACTCGCTATAAGCTAAAGACGAAAGTATTTTACAGTGTGTGTACTGTGTATGCATTTTTTAGGCCAACTTTAGTGTTCATTTAATTTATGATAGTGTAAACTGTTGTCTGGCTTTTATATGCATTTGAAAGTGAAAAAAGTTTGTTTCACTTTAAGGCTATTTCTGCTTTACAACAGTAGCCCAGAACCTAACCTGCTGTATAAGCAGGGCCCTCCTGTATAATAGTTAAGTGTGGTCTCCAGTTTAGCCTGTCAGCACCAGGTAGCAGGATGGTAGAGAGCAACCATACAGGGAAGTGTTATCATCTTGTCAGGTGAGTGTGAAATGGAAATCCATTAAATTTTTTTATTTTTTGGTCTTCTGTCTCATGAACAAGTAAAATGCCAGATATCTGGCATTGTACTTACCTACATTCAGATATGCATATCTTTACTCTCCTATGTGCTCTTTAACCCTTTGAGGGTCGACAGGCCCTCTCCGAAACTCGTTCTCAGGGTCGGCCAAATTTAAAAAAAAAAAAATATTTTCTCTTATAAAAAGATAGAGAATCTTTTCCCGATCATAAGGACACCAAAAGTTTGATATTTGATAGAGAACTTACGGAATTATGCTCTCGCAAAGTTAGCAGTCTCGGCGATGTTTACGCATCGGCGATTTTGCCCACTTTGAGCCCCATTTTCGGCCAATTTCACTGTACTAGTTGACAAAAAACATGAATATTTCGCTAGAACTCATTTTTTCTATCGAATGGGTGCAAGAAACCACCTATTTATGAAATTCAACTATCCAGTACAGTTGTCAGAATTTAGCAATTTTGCCAATTTCACACAAATTTCAAAAGATGCCAATTTCCGAATAGGGTCCAGAATAAACAAGAAAGACATTCCTGGCACTAAAATGACATTTCCTCTAGTCATTAGTCACGTCTCAAGGCCCCTCTTATATTCTTTTGCTTTCCACTTTGAATTTTTATTCTCACAAAAAATATAAGATTTACTGTTATGCAGACTACTGCATTAGTGTAAAAAATGGTATAAATATTATTGGTGCACTTGTGAAAGAATATTAGACTCACCAGTTGACGTGTATTGCACGCTTGGCACGATTTGTTTACTTTTGAAGTTTGGTAAAAATCGAACATTTCTGCTACTTTGAGCTCAATTTCAAGGCACCTCTCATTGTAAACCAGTCAAAATCATCTCAATTTCTGTAATATGTCTTCCATTCTATAAAATGAGACCAAGAAAACTAGAATACAACAATAAATACCATACGAAAATACACTGCAAAGTCGCTGATTTATTCCAAAAAAATGGTCAAAGTTTTTTTTTTCTCATTATGTACTGTGTGCTGCAGGATTTTTTTTAGACTGTGCACACTGACCACATAGACCCATTCTTTCATATGAAGGCCTACCAGCTTTCTCCCACTAGATTTGAGGCCGCTAGAATTTATGCGTACTAGTACGTCAAAAACCCCTACGCGTAAGACGTACTAGTACGACCAAAACCCTCAAAGGGTTAATAGTTTCTCACTTAGTAGAAATGGTCTGAGACCAGGTCATGAGAATAGGGATGGGAAGATACCAAAATTTATGTTGATGATATTCGGTTTTAGACTGATACTGATATCGTAAAAATTAGTTAATGCTCACTGATACTGATATTTTGGCACAGTCCTACATGAGATGATAATTTTTAAATCCAGTAACAGCTAACAGTTGTACCAAGACAATAATAATGGATCTGTTTGTTATCTTTATTTCATGATAATTTGCAGTAAATGTTCATGCTACTATATAGAAAAACCATTGATGACACTAGTAACTAAGCAATCTGTTGGCCATAGGTAACGGTGGACATACACAGGCACACAGTACACACAAACTGCTAGTAAAGGTGAAGGAGTGAACAGTATCATGGCTAAAGTCTGAGGGAAATAATTTGCATTTACTTCACTTCCACGGGCGAGGATAGAACCCGCGATCAGAGGGTCTCAAAATTCCAGACCATCGCGTTAGCCACTGGACCACTTGGGTTCTACCCCCGCCCGTGGTTTGTTTGCAATCGTGTCATTACGATTTCGTGGGTCACTTCACTTTCTTTTTTACATGAAATTAAGTATGGGTTTGGTTTAGAAGAACATGTAAGCAAACACTAGGACACATTTACTTACATGCTTGTGTGTTTTCTGAACCACCTTGTCTGTATTTATTACCAAGTTTATATCAAATATGGTTTTGAATAAACGTATGTGTATGTCTTTGATGTAATCATAGTTGTATACAGTTAAACATTATTGTGATTACTCACTTTACAGGTTGAACTTACTGGGAAACTTTTCACTTCTGATGAAAAAGACTTCTGGCAACTACCTGAGCTTGTTCTGAAGAAGCAGTCCAACAAGTACTCTATTATGTCAAATAATGCTAGTTATGGTGAGTCTCTGATGGTCTTAGAGTAACCTATTTCTTAAGTGTTAAATCATGCTACTTGCAAGGGTTACTTTCCTAGAAAGCACTCCAAATGTTTGAACCACAAAGGTAGATAGTGATTCACTAGACAGAGAGTAATAGGTTTACATGTTTTGTTTTTCGCCATCAGACTTGTTCTTCCTACTGCTGTTGTAACGTAAGTTGCTGCAGGGAAATGCTGTATCATTCTGTACTTAGGAGCTATGATGCAGGATAAGTACTCTTTTCATGTAACATTATGGATATTAAAACATGCTTATAAGTCGAATCAAAGAAAAATCTATACGTTACATCTAATTTTGCAAAACTATCGATGAAAAAATTCCAATAGTATGTTAATGCAAGTAGTGACCTCGCAGACTTTGGACACAATAATAACACTTGCAGCATGTAATGCCAGCACTTCTCATATTACTCCCCAGAGATTCGAATTGCTTCATTCTTCAGCAAAGAAGTAAATCCTCAGTTGATGGTAAATTTAAAAGAATGCAGTGCCAAACAAAAGCATAAGGGGGTCAGGTAAATCTATTAAGCTTTTTTTTTTTTTTTCTTCCTCAAAAAGATTCTTTGAATTGTTTTCATTTTGAATTCTGAGCAGTGAGTTCAAACATAGATACCTCACCATTCACTAAATCATGTAGCCGTGAAACCTCTGCTCCTCCACCTCCCTGACCTTATAAAAACTAATGTTAAAGATTAAATTATGTAGAGGCAGCACCTTCAGAATACACAAATCAAGGGAACACTGTGCTCTGTAAATTACCCTGTAAGCGAAACTTTAATTCCATTTGTGATATTGTAAATCAAAATACAGGTTAATGAGGTGTAGAGCAAAATTTAAAGGAAAATTTTAATCATTGTAGTAGTAACATTCAGTACTTGATCTTATTGGATTTTCTAACCGATTTTTCTTAAATTGTTCGGTTTATTTCTTTCTCCTAATTGTCAACCATTTTCCATTTCCTAGTAAATCAGGTGTAGAAGGTGCCCAAGTCTAATGTACCCAAGGTTTTAGCATTTTAAAAGAATTTGTTCCCCTATCATTTTATCTCTCTTCTCTTTTGCTCTCCCTGCAGCAATAGTTTTTAGTTAACTATGACCATGTTACTTCCAGTCACACATACACAGTACTGAGGGTTTTCCTTTATGGCTCTTAGTGCTTATGTGACCATTACCACTACTTCACACCAATACCTATCTGCCCCCTGTGTTTCCTTTCTCATGTCTCTGTATTACATTGATAAAGCTCTTGGAGGGTGAAACCTCTTTTCAGATAATAAGATGTTGCATGTGTGTTCTTAGTCACCATCTTGTCAGTGTTATATTCTAGTTCTATCTTGATCCATGTATAATTGTAATTTTTCATAGTATTTTTCCCTATCAGATACATATTCACTTCTCTGAAAAGGTTGAACCCTCATCTTCTGAGCAGACACAAATATATGTCATTTAAATTTGCAATTTCTAGAACATATATTTATAAATATTTACAGGAGATCACTAACTTACAAATACAGTGGTACCTTGGGATACGAAATTTATTTGTTCCAGAAGGCTATTCAAGTGCTGATACCAAACTAATTTGTTCCCATAAGGAATAATGAAAATTAGATTAATCTGTTTCAGACCCCCAAAAATACACTTACAAAAATGCACTTACATAATTGTTCGAGTTGGGAGCTGTTCGTATCCCGAGGTACCACTGTACCACAATTTACACACATTCATACTCACACATAGTTCACCTAGGAAGCAATTAAAGTTATACAACATGTGTGAAATAATTCTTCGCTGTATGAATGTTTTCTTAACAAATAACTTGTTTTTAAATTGAAAGACCAGGAAGGTAACTCATTTGTAAATTGGGGCACCTCCTGCATCTGCAAATAATGTAATCCAATTTCTAACCATTTTAATTGTGACAGGCTTGGTGGTTAGTGTGAAGGTCGTTCATGGAGAGCTTGAGCAAGCCACCAAAGAAAATCCCCTTTTGCTCAAGAATGTTTGCGTTACGAAGAAACTAGGGTTTTCTGATGTTATTATGCCAGGTGATGTAAGGTAAGACCCCATAATTTCTCCAGTTTGACTCTGTTTTATTAAGTATCTGAGAATGTTGAACTTTGATCTTAAGACTGAGTATTTTTATCTTAGTATGTTATTTTCACTGACCTAAATAAGGAAGACCATTCACCATCTCTCATTCACTAGCTGTCATCCTGAAGCATGTAGACATCACAATTGAAATGTTCCTTCAAACTGCAACAACTCCCACCCATTATAAAATGCTGAAGTGATTAGCGAGTTACCTGATAAAAGTGGGGAAACAGCTAATGTGATTAAAAAATTACTCAAGGAACTAGTCTTGTGAGACAATGCTTCCAAATATAGGGCTGTGTTCCATAATCTAATGTCTCCATAACTCTTTAACCTACTTACCACCCTACGTCTAGTCACCCTGTGTCTAGTCAGATGTTATAATTCTTGGTATTCAGGAGTTAATTAGGGCCCTAACCCTTGACTTTTTTGCATTTCGGAAAATTAATCGTCAGGAATTGAACATTATCTGGCGACCTTGTTTGATGTAGTGAAATGTTATGTAATCTGCCAATCACCAGGAAATTTCCATCTCTGTCTAGTGGTTAATCACCAAGTTGTCCATGGGCAGTTCAAGAAAGTGGTACTCTAATATATTACTGAGTATCCTAAAACAATTACACACTGTATGACTCTCAGGTTTAACGCTGGTATTGTTGAATGTATTAATAACTAGGTGTATTTTGGCCAGTGCTCTATTTGATAAAGGTGTCTGTGTTTCTTAACCACCCAGGGAGGTACTACCATCCTGCCAAGTGAGTGTAAAACAAAAGCCTGTAATTGTGTTACATGATGGCAGGATTGCTGGTTTTTTTTTTTTTTTTTGTCTCGTAAACATGCAAGATTTCAGGTACGAATTGCTACTTCCCCTTACACTTCGGTCACACTACAGATGCTTGTTCAAGCATATATATACATACCCTTCTGGGTTTTCTTCTATTTTCTTACTAGTTCTTGTTCTTGTTTATTTCCTCTTATCTCCATTGGGAAGTGAAACAGAATTCTTCCTCCATAAGCCACGTGTGTTGTAAGAGGCAACTAAAATGCTGGGAGCAAGGGGCTAGTAACCCCTTCTCCTTTAGGCCACCCTGCCTGGTGGAATATGGCCAGTTTGTTGAAAGAAAGAAAGAAGCTTTGTTTCTTAATCCCAGTCCTCTGTCCCTCAGTGCATGTGATGGGAATAGTGCAGAATACTGCATAAGTTGATAATGCAGTCAAATTGTAGCCTTGAAGCATTGAAAAGAATCAGAAGAGGCATTCACAAGCCTTCATAAGGTAACTAATATCTAAATTTCATCAATAAAAATGGTAAAATAGGATATTACATTGCCCAGATATAATTCATGCCTTTCAGAGAGAAAAAAAAATTCTAAAATACACAAGCACATTAAGTCTGAAGCTATTCAGAAGTTACATTATTAAGTTATCAGCTTGGAAGAGTGGAAGCTAATCAGATAAGACTTGGAAATTGTCGCATTAAAAGCAGTATTTTAATTTTTACACTTCAAAAAAAAAAAAAGTGAATTGGTAGCTACACAAGCCAAAATCAATTCAAACTTTTTCAAATAAAGTATTTTTTTTTCAACAAGTTGGTCGTCTCCCAGTTAGGCAGGGTGACCCAAAAAGAACGAAAAAAAATCCCCAAAAAGAAAATACTTTCATCATCATTCAACACTTTCACCTCATACATAATCACGGTCTTTGCAGAGGTGCCCAGATAGAACAGTTCAGAACAATTTTTTTTTTTTTCAACAAGTCGGCCAACTCCCACCGAGGCAGGGTGACCCAAAAAGAAAGAAAAAATCCCCAAAAAGAAAATACGTACTTTGATCATCATTCAACACTTTCACCTCACTCGCACATAATCACTGTTTTTGCAGAGGTGCCCAGAATACAACAGTTTAGAAGTATATACGTTTAAAAATACACAATATATAACTCCAAACTGCTAATATCCCAAACCCCTTCTTTAGAGTGCAGGCATTGTACTTCCCATTTCCAGGACTCAAGTCCAGTTATATGAAATAACCAGTTTTCCTGAATCCCTTCACTAAATATTACCCTGCTCACACTCCAACAGCTCGTCAGGTCCCAAATACCATTTGTCTCCATTCACTCCTATCTAACAGTGCTCGCGCACGCTTGCTGGAAGTCCAGACCCCTCGCCCACAATACCTCCTTTACCCCCTCCCTCCAGCCTTTTCGAGGACGATCCCTACCCCGCCTTCCTTCCCTTATAGATGTATACGCCCTCCATGTCATTCTACTTTGATCCATTCTCTCTAAATGACCAAACCACCTCAAAAAACCCTTTTCAGCCCTCTAATACTTTTATTTACTCCACACCTTCTCCTAACTTCCACACTCCGAATTTTCTGCATAATATTTACACCACACATTGCCCTTAGACAGGACATCTCAACTGCTTCCAGCCACCTCCTTGCTGCAGAATTTGCAACCCAAGCTTCACACCCATATAAGAGTGTTGGTACCAGTATACTTTCGTACATTCCCCTCTTTGTCTCTATCAGTAACATTGTTTTGTCTCCACAGATACCTCAATGCACCACTCACCTTTTTTCCTTCATTAATTCTATGATTAACCTCATCCTTCATAAACCCATCCACTGACAAGTCAACTCCCAAATATCTGAAAGCATTCACTTCTTCCATACTCCCTCTCTCTAATGTGATATCCAATTTTTCTTTATCTAAATCATTTGATACCCTCATCACCTTACTCTTATCTATGTTCACTTTCAGCTTTCTACCTTTACACACCCTCCCAAACTCGTCCACTAACCTTTGCAATTTTTCTTGAGAATCTCCCATAACCACAGTATCATCAGCAAAAAGTAACTGTGTCAACTCCCATTTTGTATTTGATTCCCCATAATTTAATCCCACCCTTCTCCCCAACACCCTAGCATTTACCTCTTTTACAACCCCATCTGTAAATATATTAAACCATGGTGACATTACACATCCATGCTTAAGACCTACTTTTACCAGGAAGTAATCTCCCTCACTGTCCTTAAAAACTCTTTACAGCATTGAGTAACTTACTACCTATTCCACATATTTGGAACATCTGCCACTTAACTCAACTATCCACTCTATCATATGCCTTTTCTAAATCCATAAATGCAGTGAAAACTTTCCTACCTTTATCTAAATACTATTCACATATATGCTTCAATGTAAACACATGATCCCCTACCCATTCTGAAGCCTCCTTGCTTATCTGCAATCCTACCCTGTCTTACTTCTAATTCTTTCAATAATAGCCCTACCGTACACTTTTCCTCGTATACTCAGTAAACTTATTCCCCTATAATTTTTACAATCTCTTTTGTCCCCCTTCCCTTTATATAAAGGAACTATACATGCTCTCTGCCAATCCCTAGGTACCTTCCCCCTCTTTCATACATTTATTAAACAAAAATACCAACCACTCCAACACTATATCCTCCCCTGCTTTTAACATTTCTGTCATGATCCCGTCAGTTCCAGCTTCTTTACCCCCTTTCATTCTACGTAATTCCTCATGCACCTCCCCCACACTCACATCCTGCTCTTCACTCCTAAAAGATGTTATACCTCCCTGGCCAGTGCATGAAATTACCGCCTGCCTTTCATCATTGACAGTTAAAAGTTCCTCAAAGTATTCCTGCCATCTACCCAATACCTCCATCTCCCCATCTGCTAACTCCCCTACTGTTTTCAACTGAGAAATCCATTCGTTCCCTTATCTTGTTTATTTTACTCAAAAATTTTTTCTTATTTTCATCAAAATTCTTAACAGTGCCTCTCCCACTGTATAATCTGCTCTCCTTTTGCACTATCACCATTCTCTACACCTTGCTTTTACTCTCCATATACTCTGCTCTTCTTATAACACTTCTGCTTTGTAAAAGCCTCTCATAAGCTATCTTTTCCTCTCTTATCACACCCTTTACTTCATCATTCCACCAATCACTCCTCTTTCCTCTTGCACCCACCCTCCTGTAGCCACAGACTTCTGGCCCACATTCTAATACTGCATTTTAAAACTATTCCAACCCTCCTCAACCCCCCTACTACTCATCTTTGCACTAACCCACCTTTCTGCCAATAGTTTCTTATATCTCGCCATAACTTCCTCCTCCCTTAGTTTATACACTTTCACTTCTCTCGTACTTGTTGTTGCCATTGTCCTTTTGTCCCATCTACCTCTTACTCTAACTGTAGCTACAACTAAATAATGATCCAATATATCAGTTGCCCCTCTATAAACGTGTAATTCCTGAAGCCTACACATCAACTTTTTATCCACCAATACATAATCTAACATACTTTCATTACATGCTATATCATACCTTGTGTAATTATTTATCCTCTTTTTCATAAAATATGTATTACTTATTACCAAACCTCTTTCTACACATTTTTTTTTTTTTTTTTTTTTTCAACAAGTCGGCCGTCTCCCACCGAGGCAGGGTGACCCCAAAAAGAAAGAAAATCCCCAAAAAGAAAATACTTTCATCATCATTCAACACTTTCACCACACTCGCACATTATCACTGTTTTTGCAGAGGTGCTCAGAATACAACAGTCTAGAAGCATAAACATATAAAGATACACAACATATCCCTCCAAACTGCCAATATCCCAAACCCCTCCTTTAAAGTGCAGGCATTGTACTTCCCATTTCCAGGACTCAAGTCCGACTATATGAAAATAACCGGTTTCCCTGAATCCCTTCACTAAATATTACCCTGCTCACACTCCAACAGATCGTCAGGTCCCAAGTACCATTCGTCTCCATTCACTCCTATCTAACACGCTCACGCACGCTTGCTGGAAGTCCAAGCCCCTTACCCACAAAACCTCCTTTACCCCCTCTCTCCAACCTTTCGAGGACGACCCCTACCCCGCTTCCTTCCCCTATAGATTTATATGCTTTCCATGTCATTCTACTGTGA